GCTAAACATGCAAGACTGAACACCCTTTACTAGACTCTGTGTTCATGCTTCAGTGCACTCTCTCTTACCTTAAAACTTTGTTGAAACATTATTATTTACACTCTGCATACTCTGACAACAGGCACCTGTCTTCCCAATACCAGCACATGGTATTGGTCCCAGCTCTCCAGTTCCTCCCCCACATACCCAGTGTGCGAAATAGCCAGTTGCCGCAAGTCTGTGGCTGGTAAAAATCCTGTTGGGCTAGTAAATCTCCACAGTCAGTGGCCTGACTGGCTAGTGAATTATCATGGGATCATTTTTATCCATCTACCCATCCGTCTGTCCGTCTATTTTGTTTCCGGAGCACAACTCGAAAACCGTTCAATAGTTTTCAACAAGAATTGGTAAATATATCAAACAGAACCTAAAGTGGTGCCTTTGTCTATTTACAGATTTTTATCATTTTTATTTTTCTCGGTTTTCATGGAAACGATTTGGACTTCATATCAAAATGGAGGCAGATCCTAAAGTGGTGCCTTCTGATGTTTGCAGATATTTTGGCATTTTTATTTTTCCCGGTTTCCATGGAAACGATTCGGACATAGTTTCAAAAAGAAGGGGTGGGTTTCGTTTCTGGAGCACAACTTGAAAACCTTTCAATATCTTTCTACAAGACTTGGCAGACATATCAAGCAGATCTTGAAGTGGTGCCTTTTGCTATTTACAGATTTTTGGCATTTATGTATTTCATGATTTCCATTGAAACGATTCAGACTTAGTCTAAAAAAATCAAATTGGACTTTAAGTAACTGTGAGATGATTTGTTCTTTCAAATATGTAGAGGCCGGGGGGATTTGTCATCTTCTGATGACTCTTGTTTTAATGTATTTTGGGCCCATGGCCTTTTACTGGAAATATACTCTGACTCTGACTCTAAAGCATGTAGAGGAAAATGATACTTGTAATGTGGTTTGGGTTTTATTTTGTTGATTTTGTCAGCTTCGGGTTTTACTTTCACAACTATTGTGTGAGTGGAGATGACAAATGTGTGATTCTGAATTGACATGAATATAGATTATGGATGATAGTCTAGCAATGTAATTAGATTCGGTTTCTTCAAATCAGTTTTGCTTTGAATGTGTTTCATTATATAGATTAGAACACAACTAGTAATAAACGTGTTGGATACATTTTCAGCCTGTGCTGATTGTCAGTTTAATGTTGATCTCCACAATATTCCAGGCTGAAGGTAGTATTTCCATTGTCGAGGTTGGACATGACAAACCAGTGGTTAATGTCATGAACATATATCCACATAATTGAATCACTTGGGTTTGGTTTGTTGTTTAACGCCACATTCAGCAGTATTCCAACTGTATGGCCGCAGTTTGTAAATAATTGAGTCTGGACCAGACGCATCGATCTGCACAGTTGCGATACGATGACATGTGTCAACCAAGTCAGTGAGTCTGACCACCTGATCCCTTCAGTCTCCTCTTACAACAAACATGGGTTGCTGAAGATCAATTCTAACCTAGATCTTCACGAGTAGTTGAATGGTTATGGTAACACAAAGTCAACCAAGTGATAAAGACTAGTCACATATTCCCTTCAATTCCTCTTACAATTATCACTGGTTGCTGGGGACCTCCTGTCTTGTCAAACATCTGATACCTGGTATTTCATGGCAGCCATAGTGAAATGTATGACATACCTCAGAATCACATCTAGTCTCAGAAATGAACATATTGTACAGAAAAAAACTGTTCATAAAACATAAAAAAAATGAAATTAATGAAAAGGAGCCCAGAGACTTCCTCCTGAAACTCTGGTAATCTAGACTTGCCATGTATACTAGATAGGGCTCAATGTAAGAGATGGTAACCTACTTGCACTGCTTTTATTGCAATATGTAATGAAAGAAATATGCTTTTGAATTATTGAGATGTTTTATTCAGAAGTTTACCCGCTCAAAAATTGACCTGCACCTGGCGCAAGTTAGACTAACAACTAGGTCGCATTTTGTAATATTGGGTTGCACCAGTGCAAGTAACAAAGCACTAAATCTAACCCTTCTACACTTACATGGACTTTCACAGATATATTTGTTTCAAGGTCTGTATGACAGACTAGATTTACCTCTTTTAGATAAGATAAGATAGAATTTATGATCAGGTTCTGCACAACCTTAATCTGCCTGGAGCCAGAATGAGATACTGACAATGTTGTTGAGCAGGATTTTTTTCTACCATTTTTTTTCCTATTGTGAACAACTGGCCTGAAAGTAATTGTGGAATATTGGTGTTGTGTGCAATATCTGTTCCTGTGAATTGCTTGAAGTTCATGGCTTATGGGCAAATATATCATGGTTCAATATATTTTCCACAAAACTGTGTTCAACACCAACACTGGTCGCATGTCTGAATCTGGGTTTTTCTTAAGGACCAGTAAACAATATAAATGGTGGTCTAGTGTTATTTTGGGGGCAGTGGGGTAGCCTAGTGGTTAAAGCTTTCGCTCATCACGCCAAAGACCCAGGTTCAATTCCCCACATGGGTACATTGTGTGAAGCCCATTTCTGGTGTCCCCTGTAGTGCTGGGAATTGGTCAAAATCTCATAATTGATGATTGGTTCATTACCACCGATCAATCATCGAAAATAATTGGTTAGCGTCATTTATGAAATTTTCCTGATTATTTTTGTTAATGGACAAACAAAATATAGACAAAAAACTGTAGTTCTTTGGTGTTTTTGCAAATTGCACAAAAGGCATTGGCAAATTTCACATCTTTAAAGGATGACTAGTAGGTTAGGAACATTAATTTCTTGGAGTCTTGAAGATAAATTCAATCATGACTTGGAAAGAGCTTGTAGTGGTCATGAAATGTAACAGACAAAACCAACTTTGTGAAAAATATTGTTTATGCAAACAAGTGTTCCAGAATTGTTTGTGTTCGATTATGAGAAAACATGATCAATTGCTTGGTCGTTTAGTCACTGCAACCAATCTTCGATTATTTCAATTAATCGGACCACCACTAGTCCCCTGCCATGATATTGCTGGAATGTTGCTAAAGGCGGCGTACAACTAAAAACTCACTTATTCACAGGTGTTATTTTGGGGACAAACATAAATTAGTACGAAATTTGAAGTCAGCAACTTTGATGCAAACCTAAGGAAAACCAGCAACCAAATAAATCCTGCATAGTACAGAGGTTACTTTCTCTCCTTGATTTTATGACTTAAGGATGTGTTCCATACATTTAGGTGAAAAGTCTAGCTGCTTTAAACAAACAAACCTGAGGTTGACAAGGATTAAGAGTTAGTTATTTCTACCATTTGTAAACATTAGAATGAAAGAATACCATTAAAACCTTGTATTTTCAGAACTTAGTAGAGGTCCAACAGGACCATGGATCATTTTTCTCACATGGTTAGCATCAAACACTGCAAAAATGTCAAAATCTAAGGCAGGATAAATGATGATTTATTCCTGAGTTGATAATGTTTAGAGGATATAACGTTGAGTGCAGTATTTTTCATTAAATTGTTGATTGCTTGGTTTCAACTCATCTGACTGAAAGATTGTAGTGTGTCAATCTGGGTTTCATTCTGTGTGTTCCCATTTTTTTTCCAAACATATTTTTTCTGAAACCTAAGGGTTTATGGACCTGATACTTTGTATGAAATATGTCAGTTATAATGTGTCCAAAATCTACATGCAAATTTTAATCTTACTTCAAACATGGCTGCCATGGAGGCCATGTTGAAAACGTCACTAATGCGCACTTTGATATCTTCTGTGATACTACCTGAGTGAAACTGAAATTAAGGTTGAAGGTTCCTTTTTCTTTTAATGCTTATGTCTTTGTGATTTTATTGTGATTTATATTATTTCTGATACTTCAGACATCAGATTTGCGAAAAAGGTTCAGATATGACTCTTATTCATGTTATGAACCTGGCTAGCTATTCTCGAAACTTCTTAAGCCCTAAGAATTTCTTAAGCCCATTCTTAACACATTGGCTACGATCAAAGTTAAGAATTCTTAGGGCTACGAACGTTTTGAGAATAAGGACCCTGAACTTATGTGAATCATGAAGAGCAAACAAATTTCAACATGTTCCAGGCAACACAGTTTATCTAATGCTTTCATTTTTCTTTTAACACGCCACAGATTTTTGCAGTAAAATAAGATTGTGCAAATGTTTTTTTATCAGTCATTTGAGCTACAGAGCATCATGGCTGTATTTTCTTTCCCTAAGATGCCTGTTGAATATTCTCATTCACATGTCTTGAGTGTTTGAAGTGTGAAGATGTAAGTGAATATTGATGAGAACAATGTTTAAGAAGGGCCTCCCGACCCGTGAAGATCCAGGGTAGAATAAGTCTTCAGCAACCCATGCTTGCCACAAAAGGCGACTCTGCTTGTCGTAAGAGGCGACTAACGGGATCGGGTGGTCAGGGTCGCTGACTTGGTTGACACATGTCATCGGTTCCCAATTGCGCAGATCGATGCTCATGCTGTTGATCACTGGATTGTCTGGTCCAGACTCGATTATTTTCAGACCGCCGCCATATAGCTGGAATATTGCTGAGTGCGGCATAAAACTAAACTCACTCACACACTTAAGAAGGTCCCAAAATTATTTTAGAAAACCTAGCTCTCAGTGAATCTGTGCTAAATGACTTTCCATCCCACCTGGTTTTTATTTTTTAACATGAAGATGTATAAAATATTCATTATGGTTACAATGCTTTACAGATTTTATTTAACTAAAATGTATTCTTCAGTATTAAAAATAAAGAGGGTTTCTTCTGTCCTCGTTACCCTAAGGTTTTGTGTGCTTCTGATCATGATCATGATAATCCAAGGATTCATTAAATCTTTTCTTTAGAAGATAATTGTTCTGGCAAGGACCTCTAAGCATTCACACTCACTTTTGAACAGAGAATACTTTTTTAGAAAATATTTGTTTTTATTCATGATTGAAGAACACTGATTTCCTCCACAGGTGAGACAGATTCCTCCAAGTTCTGGGATTGTAAGAATCGTGGCATCAATGGAGGACAAACTGGACAGATCCACTGGGACTTCGAGGCTATTAGCCACAACTTTAGTGATGGTCAGTTTGTTTGTTTTTAATTCTGATCATTTAATTGTGTTGAAAATTAAACAGAAAATAGTGAAACTATTTTAAAATAGACAATGCAAAATTATAGATTATATCGTACACCAAATGACCAATTTCTTTGGCGGATATTCTGCTACTTGGGTTGAAGCAGGTTCAAGATGTTTGAAGACCTGTGCAGTTTAAATGATCAGATAGGGCCAAGTGGGGCTTCTTTTGCTTCAGATTTTTAATCATATTACACATTTTTTGTGTGCTCATCCATTTGCTTACCATGTCTACAATTTATGCCAAGTATTGGTAAAAACCTCGAGGATGCCTTCAGTATGTTCAATTGTCTATTCAGGATGTTAATCCCTGACAGTATTTTGAGCCCAAACAGGATGGTAGTACTATAGAGCATCAATTGTTATGTTAATTATTCCCAAGATCAAGGGTCATATCTAACGTACAACAATATATGCATGTTGTTATTTTTGTAGCAATAACAGAAATAGCCACTCTTTTGCCTCAAATATCATTTACAGTCACCTGATGAAGGAATAAGAATATTCTCCAAAATGTCTTGTTCGTCAAAATAGAGAAGTTGACATCCATAAATTCTTGCCCTTATGTGTATCACTTCGAAATGCTGTTGAAAGACTTTTTTGCATTGTGTTTAAAAGGAATATTTGGGCGGTTGGGTAGCCCAGTGGTTAAAGCAATCGCTCGTCACGCCGAAGACCCGGGTTCGATTGCCCACATGGGTACAATGTGTGAAGCCCATTTCTAGTGTGCCCTGTCGTGATATTGCTGGAATATTGCTAAAAGCAGTGTATAACCATACTCACTCACTTATAAGGAATATTTTTACTTTTTACCTCTACAAGGTGTAGTAGATAGAGTGTCTGCTTGGAGAGTCAAATATCAATGGTTTGATCCCACATCATACCAAAAGATAATACTTGCTGAAACCCTGCCTTCGTTCTATTTCAGCTGTGACTGAGATATGCTTCAAGTACTATCAAGGCAATGCAGGGGAAATGGTTGCTGCAAGTCCCACCATCAAGATAAAGAGACCCAATCTCAGGAGAAAGGTACTGAAACGTAGTGTTAAATGTGACACTGATTATACTTATTATGATCCCATGGCTGAAGAGGCTCCCAGTACCCTGTGCTTGTTTCCACCTGGTGATCCAAGTGGTGCAAGTTCCCTGTAGTCCATGCTTGTCTCCCTGAGGGGATCCTTTTAGCAGAATAGGTCCTCAGAACTTGCTTGTCCTCTTGAGGGGATCCTTGATCAGTATTGGTCATCACAACTTCATGCTTGTCTCCCAGAGGATATCATCGAGCAGAATATGTCCCATGTACACCATGCTTGTCTCCCAGAGGATACCATCGAGCAGAATATGACCCCAGTACATGATGCTTGTCTTCCTTGAGCAGAATAGGTCATCAGTACTCCATGCTCGTCTCCCAGAGGAGATCCTTGAGCAGAATAGGTCATCAGTACTCCATGCTCGTCTCCCAAAGGAGATCCTTGAGCAGAACAGGTCATCAGTACTCCATGCTCGCCTCCCAGAGGAGATCCTTGAGTAGAATATGTCCCCAGAACTCCATGCTCGTCTCCCAGTAGAGATCCTTGAGCAGAATAGGTCATCAGTACTCCATGCTTGTCTCCCAGAGGAGATCCTTGAGCAGAATATGTCTCCAGAACTCCATGCTCGTCTCCCAGAGGAGATCCTTGAGTAGAATATGTCCCCCCATACTCCATGCTTGTCTCCCAGAGGAGATCCTCGAGCAGAATAGGTCATCTCTACTCCATGCTTGTCTCCCAGTGGAAATCCTTGAGCAGAATAGGTCCCATGTACACCATGCTTGTCTCCCAGAGGAGATCCTTGAGCAGAATAGGTCATTGGTACTCCATGCTTGTCTCCCAAAGGAGATAATTTCACAGAATAGGTCCAAAGTATGAACTGCTGGTCTCCCAGAGATCCTTGAGCAGAATATGCCATCAGTACTCCATGCTTGTCTCCCAGTTAGGGACATGAGGCTGTAAGTCACAAGTACCCTATGCTTTTTGCTAAAACAAACTTGAAAGGACTGGGTTTTGAAAATATGTGAACATATTGCTGGAATATTGCTAAAAGCAGCATAAAACTCACTCACTCACTCACTCACTCACTCACTCACTCACTCACTCACTCACTCACTCACTCACTCACTCACTCACTCACTCACTCACTCACTCACTCACTCACTCACTCACTCACTCACTCACTCACTCACTCACTCACTCACTCACTCACTCACTCACTCACTCACTCTACTCACTCACTCACTCACTCACTCACTCACTCACTCACTCACTCACTCACTCACTCACTCACTCACTCACTCACTCACTCACTCACTCACTCACTCACTCACTCACTCACTCACTCACTCACTCACTCACTCACCATGTTCATCTCTCTGGGGGAATCTGATAAGGTTCCCAGTACTCCTATGCTCCATATGCAGCAGAAAAGGTCCTCAGAACTTGCTTGTCTTCTTGAAACATGATGCATGATTTAAAACAGAACAGCCAATTATCTCTCTGTGAGCAGTCCCAAATAAGCCTCTGCCTTGTGTACACATATTGTGACATAAGGCTGAATGCTATTGAACGGATCTAGGTAAACCCCTGCCTTGCTGCAGAAATGGGGCTCAATATTGGCCTCTGAGAAGGGCTAGAAAAAACAAACCTGTCTCACTCTAGATTTGGGGCTGTTTATGGGCGTCTGTACAGGTCTAGAAAACCCCTGTGTTACTACAGACTTGGGGCTGAATATTGGCCTCTGAGAAGGACCAGAAAGAAAAAACCTGTCTCACTGCAAACTTGGGTTAAATATTGGTTTCTGAAAATGGCTAGAAAAAACAACAACCTGTCTCACTACAGAATTTGGGCTTCTGTACAAACGTAGAAAATACATTGTTCTCACAACAGACTTGAAGTTGAATGTGGGCTTCTGCACAGGTCTAGATGAATATTTGGGTTTATATGTCTCATATAGCTAAATCACAAGCGGAAATATTGTCTTCTGGGTTTTTTTAATCGTTGAAGAGGAAATGGAAACAGCAAAAAGCAGCTGACACAATCAAGAATAATTTCCTGTATAATTTATCATGCAAAACAATGTCATGCTGGTTTGGCCGTGTGTCCCCCATATTCAAAATGAGTGCATGTCCTTGTTTCAATACAAATCTGTCCTGCACCTCTGCACCGAAATGTAGGCCGGAGGAAACTATCACTTGACACAATTTAGAATGTTTTGATTCATGAATGGCCATGGTTGTACTACAATCCTGGGATAGGTAATCCAGTATTACATGCCACTGTCATCACGTTTCCCCTTCCAATTCATCACTATGGAATTGCACAAGCCCACATGCTATAGTCAGTGTCGGGATAAAGTAGACCTGACATGTCAGAAGTTCTTGAGAATACACCGCCTCTTTTACATCAGTTCATAAATCTTGTGTTTTTGCTGTCAGCACACTGTAGAATCTTAAGACTTTTTGACAGAAGTTGCCTTCACTGTTAACTATCATTGTCATCATGTTTTCCCCTTCAGGGTGTGATTTCGCTATTTACACCGACTGACTGACTGAGTTTGGTTTTACGCCGCTTTTAGCAATATTCCAGCAACATCACGGCGGGGGACACCAGAAATGGGATTCACACATTGTACCCATGTGGGGATTGAACCCGGGTCTATGGCATGACGAGCCAACGCTTTAACCACTAGGCTGCCCCTCGCTATTTACAGTTGCGGTGGGGTAGCCTAGTGGTTAAAGCATTTGTTCATCATGCCGTAGATCTGGGTTTGATACCCCACATGGGTACAATGTGTGAAATAATTTCTTGTGTCCCCTGCCATGATATTGCTAAAACATTGCTAAAAGCAGCGTAAAACCGTACTCATTTGCTCATTATTTACAACCTGTTAAAAGTGGCTGGTGCAGGTTGCCTTCAATACAGGTTGCACCCGGTGCAGTTAACAATTAATCCTCCAACATCTTATAGCTGTCATCATGTGTTTAAATTGGGAAGTAATTGACTAGAAGTAACAAGACTTGCATAAACTCTGTGTACTCATAAATCAGTTACATAGCAGTAATCATATAATTGAGATTTATAAATAAAGGTAACGCAAAACAGAATCATTCATCATTATCATCATGGGGTCAGATTCTATTAAACGTATCCGATACTGAGTGGCTCAGAACTAAAACAATGCTTAACAAAGCTACACATATCAGTACGCGAGGTTACACGTTTGATCATGTAAAGATAATAGCGGCTTTTAACCAGTCAAAAAATCAATAGTAGAAGCCATAGAGGGCCATATATTAAGAGTCTGTTGCTACTAGGTCTTACCATTCAACTTTAAAATCTCTAAGCAGGTCTTACAATTGAAATTTAAAACTCTGCAGGTCTCAATTTAAACTTATACCTCTGTCAAGTTTACTCTGAACCATGAAGATTCCAAAAATACTCCTACAAACAAAAGTGACGGAGGATTTATAAGGAGAAAACATGCTTATCGTATCTCCTAAAACAATGTAGATGTTTACAGTTGTGTGTCCTTATGGTGGACTTTAAAATGGGGATACCAGGACACAGGATGCCAGCTGTATCTACAGGAAATAATTACAATATGATGTGTTCTGCCTCGATATAGAAGTATTTCCTTGTTTGCGTCACACTGAGTGACTAGGTATTCAGGGCTTGATGTAAGAGATGTTAACCTACTTGCACCAGGTGCAACCTGAGATAGAAACTTAGTTGCACCAGCCAGATTCTAGTTGCACTGCTTTTATTGCAATATGTAATGAAAGAAATATGCTATTGAATTATTTAGATGTTTTGTTTAGAAGTTTACCCACTCAAAAATAGACTTGCACCTGGTGTCAGTTAGACTAAATACTTGGTTGCACTTTGTAGTATTGGGTTGCACCAGTGCAAGTAACAAAGCACTAACTCGAGCCCTGGTATTACACTAACTGGTCAAATTATTGATTTATATAATATCAGAACAGGAATATCAGTTAAATAGATTTAAATTTAATTAGTTTCTCTCTTTCAAACATACAAACACGTTTCCATCCAGTGGGACTCTCAGTAAATTTTGTTTGCCTGCATTCTAATATTTTATGCTTATTGGACGTGGTGTGTTGTCTGAAATTCTACAGTTGCAAAACATTAAAGGCATATAGGCATTGTCGTGACGAGATAACTTTCTCATAAGTTTGAGGTATTTACAGTTTGTTTATGGTTTTCAGTATTGTGAGTCCTTTTGGGCGATATTCTGGATTACTAGGAACCATGTTTTATGATAATTTTCTTTTAAATTCTTTTCGAATTGACAGTTTCACCTCTGTTATTTATTGACATTAATTCATTTAGATGTGACACTCACTTTTGATAGGCAGATAAATATCTGCACACAAGCTGAAAAGGCAAGGCTGGATACTTTCACACATTTCTTTTAATGTTATTTTTGAGGATATTTGCAAACAACTCCAAATTAATTGAATAATGACTATGTATGTGGCATATTTTCACATCACATCATATCTGGAGCTTATGTCAATTAATGGAAGGCAATGTGCATTCTAGGCTGCGCTTGAAATAGTAGTTTTGGGCTGCAATGCCGTTATGATAAATATCTAAATCCTATTCTCACCATTGTCTTTTTATTTCAACCCGTGAAGGTCCGGGTTCGAATGAGCCTTCAGTAACCCATGCTTGTCGTAAGAGGCGACTAACGGGATCGGGTGGTCAGGCTCGCTGACTTGGTTGACACATGTCATCGGTTCCCAATTGCGCAGATCAATGCTCATGCTGTTGATCACTGGATTGTCTGGTCCAGACTTGATTATTTACAGACTGCCGCCATATAGCTGGAATATTGCTGAGTGTGGCGTAAAACTACACTACCTCACTCACTAAAGAAGGTCCAATTATTTTTTTTTAGAAAACCCAGCTCTCAGTGAATCTGTACTAAATGACTTTCCATCCCACCTGGTTTTTACAGACCGCCTACATGGTGTAGTGGTTAGAGCGTCCGCCTGGAGACTGGAAGGTCGCGGGTTCAATCCTCGACCGCGTCATACCAAAAGACGTTAAAAAATGGTACTTGTTGGTCCCTGCCTGGCGCTCGGCATTAATGGGTACATCAAGGACTGGTCGGCTCGGAGTCAGTATAATGTGTCTGAGTGGGGTATTCATGCTTCATTGCGGCATGGTATCTCACATGTCATCGGTTTCCAATTGCGCAGATCGATGCTCATGCTGTGGATCAATGAATTGTCTGGTCCAGACTAGATTACTTACACAGCGTAAATTGCAGAGTGTGGCTTAAAACTAAACTCACTCACTGAAGTTTTTGGTATAATGTGATATGTAAACCAATGGCCAATTGCGTGCTGACCAGTGTCGCCGAAGGCACCATTGTTAGTCTCAGAGCAAAGGAGAAATCATTTCCAATGGACACTGATCGTGCTGATTGCCTGACTAATAGTTTGGTCTTTATTTGAATCATGTTCATCCTAAACCTGATCTTTCGTTTTTCATTAACTTTATCATCCATCCTATCCTTATATTACAAGTGGTTAACAAAGAAATTACTTTTGCATTGACGTTTCCATACCTTGTAAAAATAGTCCACATACAGACTACGGGGTACTATTTTCGCACTGCCTGATAATAGAAGGGGATGGGCTTGTGTTGCATCATTGCAATAAATGATGTTTCCAATTTTATGTTTTCACAATTTATTTATTGAGGACTAATAAACTGTCTGTGAAGATTTTAGTGTTGACACATATATTTCGAAAAAATGACTTTTGTTTTTTTATTTTTTTGAATGCCTGCATTTTTTATTTATATATAATTAATATGCACACCTGTCTGTGAGAAAGTGAATTATAGAATCAGCCTCAGATGGTGTAGTTCCTGCTGGGTAATAAATTGTGTGCTTGCAGTAGTGTATGGCAGTGCTGATTCATCAGTTCTAATTGACTTTTATTGACTGGTTATGTTTATCCGTGGGTTCATATTGACCTGTTTAATCACATTATTTTCATTGTAGTACCCTCACGTCATGTGTTTCCGTGGTATTAAGCAATTTACGACTATGAATATGATCGCTCATATTGCCAAGTCATATAAACATAATATAGTGTTAGACGACATACCTTTGTATCATTTAATGTCAATAAAACACTTTTGTCATTCTGAAGTTCATTGTTGTCTGTATCGGACGACAGGCGGCCATTGTACACAAACTCTGGTGACGTCATATGTTTCCGTGGTATTTCCTTCAGATCAAATTACGGGCGCACAGCACATGTCACAATCTCACACGTTGTCAACAGCCAATCCGGGAGTGTCAGTGTAGGTTTACAGTAATATCAAAGTTGATAAATTGTAATACAGTAAACGATTTTGTAGAATTAACACATTAGTCACATATCTTCAGCATAAATTTCCAGTTCATAAAATATGTAGAGTTGATACGGGATACGTGAAATAAAAAGAAAAAAAGCAACTTAAGAGATGACCCTATCGGGCTTCTATAGTTTAAAAAATAGAGCTGGGATTACCCCCTTAGGTCACGTGATTGTTTTTATTGATGACATAAGCTAGCAGACGAGCGATGTTTGGAAAACTTTGAAGCTGAGTAAGTTGATAGAAAATGTTTGCAAAGATTGCACAGAAAGTGCATTACGTGCTAGACATAAAGTTGCATTAGTTTTTAATAGTAGATGACTGTACATACGCAAATTGATGAAAGTCTGAACATTTTTTGTTCAGACCCGTGCCGATCGACTGATGTACGTAAACAATCGATAGGTGGCACGATTTGGCGAGTGGCTCGTGAGAAATTATGTCATTAGGAAATACCACAGAAACGTAAGTACCACGAAATCATATGACGGTATGGTATATGCAGTGATAGGAATTGAAATTAGTCCTGAAGTCCTTGCTGGTAAGATTAGACTATTAGAAACTTGCCAATTTGACGGTTTTGTAATCTGTTTCTATTATAAGGACTCGTAACTAGAAATGTTAGTTTCATTTGTTGCTTTGTAGATATGAAAGAGAGAATTATGTGGTTACGCTTTTCTTTTGATGTTTTCAGGGAAGCCAGACTGTCAATGGAGAAACTATTCCGCTACAGGATAACACGCAATTCAAAGTTCTCATCACAGGTCAGTTACTGTACACAATGATCAAATGTTGGGGCCTGCTTTGTACGTTGCAGTCAAGTTGTGCCTATTGGGATAGCTGCCCAGCGCCCTGGCTCGTGTGGACCGCCTCTGTGGTGTAGTGGTTAGAGCGTCCGCCTGGAAGCGGAAGGTCGCTGGTTGGATCCCCGACCGCGTCATACCAAAAGACGTTAAAATATGGTACTTGTTGGTCCCTGCCTGGCGCTCGGCATTAATGGGTACAACAAGGACTGGTCGGCTCGGAGTCAGTATAATGTATCTGAGTGGGGTATTCATGCTTCACTGCGGCATGGTATCTCAGTGGGCTAGCCCTATAAAACCAGCTTAAGTCTGGGCTAGTACAAGCAGCCACACCTACACATACACACGCATGCACGTCATTATGAGCGAAATATTCTCAAGCACGACGTAAAACCCAATTTCACCTCACCTCACCTCACCTGGCTCGTGTCATCATATTAAGTATATCATTATATTAGAGGGAGGTGATGTAGCCTAGTGGTTAAAGCTTCAAGACCTGGGTTTGATTCCCCACATGGGTATAATGTGTGAAGCCCATTTCTGGTGTCCCCTGCCATAATATTGCTAGAATATTGCTAAAAGCAATGTAAAACTAAACTCACCCACTCACTCATTCACTCACTCACGCATGCATGCACGCACGAACACACACACACACACTCACTCAAGCACGCACGCACTCACTCACTCATACCCTTTAGTATTGATGATGTATTTACCTACATCATGTGATGGTCAAAGTTCCTCAAACAGTTTAAACTTATAATTATGCAATGCTATACAAGGGCTGTACAGAGCTACTTCCCCCTTGCTCAACCACTCACTCAACCACTCACTCACCTACTCACTCAAGCACTCACTCATCCACTCACGCAACCTATCACTCAACCACTCACTCATCTACACACTCATCCACACACTCGTCCACTCACTCAACCACTCACTTAACCTTTCATTCAACCACTCACTCACCCACTTACTCAAGCTCTCACTCATCCACTCACTCAACCACTCACTTATCCACTCACTCAACCACTCACTCATCCACTCACTCAACCACTCACTCAATCACCCACTCAACCTTTCACTCATCCAGTCACTCAACCACGCACTCATCCACGCACTCAACCACTCACTCAACCTTTCACTCACCCACTCACTCAACCTTTCACTCACCCACCCACTCAACCTTTCACTCACCCACCCACTCACTCACCAACTCAACCACTCACTCAACCTTTCACTCACCCACCCACTCACTCACCCACTCAACCTTTCACTCATCCACTCACTCACTCACCCACACACTCATCCACACGCTCATCCACTTTCTCAGCCTCTCCCTCATCCACACACTCAGCCATTCACTCCAAGATCCATTCTCAGCACTTATGTAGTTTGGAGGTTCTCTTAATGATACCTATCGCAAATCAATTCCATTAATTTCTAGTCAGGATCCTTCGATATTTTAAAATCAATCTGGTGTAACTATAGCTATTATGTAATTCCAGATGATGAATTAGCAGGCAGGAAATTATGATTGATCAAAAGTCATTATCAGTTGTTTCACATCTAGTTCAATCAATAACCAGGTTTCAGCCCATCTCAACACTGAGGGTATCTGATATGTTTCAGATTTGGAGCAATAATAAAACGTATGTTTCAGGCCAGAAATTAGTCAGATGAATATAATCAGGCAGACCCAGCCTAATATGTTGTGACAACTCTGTCTATTTGAGTAGTGTGTGGCTTGACTTTCTCTCTGATGGTGCAGAATCTATAGAATGAAATGGATGAATGGGATCTTGGCTCAGACCAACTGTTATTCAAACATGTGATTTAAAAATGATTTTCAATTTAGCCGTTTTTTAGGGCATCACACAAATAAAGTGTCCTTGATGGACACAGCAAAACAATATGACATATTTTTTCTTTCTATTAGACCAGAAATTGGTGTCTATTTTAACATTTATGATGATGGAGCTACCAAAGGCATAGAGCTGAGGGAGTGATTTTTAGATGTGGTCTGCCTTTGATTTGAATAGCTCATGATTATTTCAAATATAATTCTTTATTTATTCAGAAGGCATAATGTGCACAGCCATCTTAAATCTGAAGCACTGAATTTCACTGTGAACAACTAAGTCTCTCTCTCTCTTTCTCTCACACTCACTCACTCACTCACTCACTCACTCACTCACTCACTCACTCACTCACTCACTCACTCACTCACTCACTCACTCACTCACTCACTCACTCACTCACTCACTCACTCACTCACTCACTCACTCAAGTGTTATGTCAATTTGTTCCCCAGATATGGAAGCAGCCAATCTGAAGAAGGGCATGTTTTTCAACCCTGACCCGTATGTGAAGCTACTGGTCATCCCAGGGAAGACGGAGGAACAACAAACTCACCACATGAAGGAGATGAGATCATCCATTGAACAGAACACCACCAACCCAAAGTGGAATGGCCAGGTAAAGATCAACTTGCTGCCCAGCAGCTTTTGTCTTGACGAATCAGGTGAAATTAAGGATATGATCTATATTAGTGCAGTTGGAGTCAGTCTTCAGAATTAACAATTATACTAGTATGTTTAGAAAGGACAAGTGGAATTTCCTTGTGGACTACCACTTTACCATTAGGCAGATGGCAGCCTTGTAGTTGATCATTCAGGAGGATCAGAGAAAATAATAAATATTTTCTTTTACATTATGAGATTGTACCTTTTGTTATCATCATGGTGGGGGTTAAAGCATTCGCTCATCACACTGAAGACCGGGGTTCGATTCCCCATATGGGTACAATGTGTGAAGCCCGTTTCCTGTGTCCCCCACCGTGATATTGCTGGAATATTGCTTAAAGCAGCGTAAAACTAAAACTCTCTCACTCACTCACTCACTCACTCACCATCGTGACACTTGGCATGAAAGGGACAAGAGAAACTGATGGTTTTTACCCAGTCTGAAAACACAGAAATCCAGTTGCTAGTCAGATAGTGGTATTGCTTGAATGTTCAGTGTGAATGTCACAAATTGGGTGAAGTTAACTTCGATTTGGTACATGGATGACCATGTTCGTCAGCTTAGCTCCTGAGAGTTCCTAAAGCATATTCCTGTCCCAACCTGAAGCAAATGTAGCACAGGAGGTGGTGATCCTTGGGCAGGTCACTTTGTATAAGATATACATACCTCTGTTCACCCAGCAGGGAATGGGAATCTGTAGCATGAGATCAGAGTGTGGCATTTTACCACAGTTAATTTAGGAACTCAAACTGAAATTTTGACAGGAGAAATAATGTGCTTTGAGCCTCTTTTTTTTTTTTTTTTTTTCAGGAATGTTTATTGAATTGACGTTATCGTTTTGAAGTGTTGTTTTTTTTTTGATTTTTTTTTTTATTCTCCATACATCCAGGTCATACAGTTCATTACATAACGGGTTGGTATAATCACAATTCGCAAATATATACCTTTGAGCCTATTGTCCAGCATAGAAAAAGGCAGTACAAATGGGTTTTCATTCCTTTTTTAATAGTAGCTTGTCTTCATTTAGGCTACATACTTTCTATCAATATTCCATTTTCAAAATGTAATAAGTGCATTTATGATGCGTTAGACTCCATCCACTAGGTGAATGCTTATAGCGCTAACAATCTGGTTATTATTACTCCTGGTAACCCAAGCTGTCTGTGAGGGGCTAGAAGGTTAATAGTCACATGACTTATCCCACCTTGGTACTGGGTGCCCATTTTTCTGCTGGGTGAAAAGAGGTAATATTGAACAAACTCACTTGCCTAAGGTGAGACCACATGTATCACTTGTGCCTAGTGTGGGGCAGGACTGAAGTCCTAGAAACTATCAGGAGTCAAGCTGCCAAACACGGTCACCCATCTAGGGACTCTCCGTGCTCAACCTTGCTAACTTCAACTGATTTGTAACCTGAGCCCTATACACAGGACCTGAGGACCACACACATATCAGGTTCAGATATTTGTAATATCCAATCAGTTTCTAACCCACTGCTTGCAAGGCCCAACATCATTTGTGTTTTGTCCATTCCTACAGATTTTCAACATTGACGTTCTCATGTCTGACATCCTAGACTTTGAGGTGAAGGACAAGTTTGCAAAGAGTCGACCCACAATCAGCCGCTTCCTGGGCAAGGTCACTGTGTCAGTGCAGAGAATTTTGGATAAAGTGGCACAAGGCCCAAGGTAGATATATTTTCATCCTCAAGGTTTTTGTGTACCATATCCCCATTCTGTTAGATAAAGAAGAGTCATAGAAATCTAGTGGTTAAAGTGTTCACTCATCACTCCAAAGACCTGGTTTGAATCCCCAAGTGGGTGCAATGTGTGAAGCCTATTCCTTGGTGTCGCCGCCGCTTTAGGGAATGTGGTGTGTGTAGGCTCAGTGTGCAAGGCCAACCAGGTGAAACCAATAATTTAGGTAATTTTCACTCATTTTCATCAATTAAAAGTATTGATCTTAGTAAACTTTCCACTAAATTTGGACTGATTTAATGTTGCTCCTTTTCCAGCCCTGTTTCTTTTAGCCTTGATCTGAACAGACGCAACCCATCCGACAATGTGACAGGCATGCTCAAGTTCAAGGCCAACATTCAGTTAATCCTTTCAGGTAGGAATTTTGAGGATTTATTCATCTATAAATAAACTATAAGTGGCATATGATTGACTAACAAAGCAAATTTTGTGTTCATTGTGATTACAGGTAATAGTGGTGTATCTGGAATATCGCCAACTGCATGAATACAATATACACCAGTCTGTGTAAAACATTTTGTGTCAGTTGGCCGCGGAATTTGTCTATTTGCGACATAGTCATACTCCCTGGTTTTATTGACTTTTATTCAGAAACTGAATTTCACTTGGCTCATTTTGGACAAGTGGCTCGAAATTGAAATAATATGATTTGATCAATGAGTTGATGTTGCTAGTATCCGAACAACTTGATAAGCTTCATATTGACAAACAATTTAATTATCAGTTGCTTTGTCAAAGGACGTCAGTATTTCTTGTTTTGTAATACTTTGTTAACTGTAAGTGAGTCACCCTGTGGAGAAGGTTTTCACTTGCCGCAATAATGATCTTGGTTTGATTCCCAAATAGGTACAGTGTGTGAACTCACTTGGTGTATGATATTGCTCTGATGACTCCGGTACTTTTTTGAAGATCGGTGCACATCTTTACTGTTTCAAAACAGACTGTCGATTTTGTAATTTGACACAGGTCACGAATCCTCCAAACGGAAAAGAAGTCATCCGCGGAAAACCTCCCTACCTGCCGACCTTAGTTCCGAGGTGACTCCGCCAACTGGTAAGGTGAACCACCATCGGCACCGCCACACAGATCCAGGCCTATCTCCTGGCAGCAGCCAGCCAGCAGACCAGCGAACAAACGATCCCAAAGTGTCGCTCTTCAACTTGTCAAAAGGTCGGATCGTAGACGAGGCCCACAATGAACAGGAAGAACAGGACAGCATTAACGGGAGCCTTCCTAGTCTATCGGCTGTGCCGAACATAGTGTGTGGCTCCTACCACAGTCAGACAGACAGCTCAGATTCCGGGACCTCATTATCAATCGTGTCATCTAGCGATAACTCTGGAGGTTCCATCACATACACAACCTCAATGGCCTCTACTACATTACACAACAGCAGCGACAGTCAGTTGGGAGAGGACAACAGTGAAACTGAACTGGGGTCAGTGGTGACCAATGATAATTATGATCTCGATGGCAGTAACTCTGACACTCTGACACCCAGTACGGAAGGCATGTCGGAGACAGATAGGGAGGTTGAGACTCTTAGTGCTAGTGCAAGTATTGTGTCTATTGGAGATTCCCAAAACTCATGGTCCCCGAATCCAGCCGATCTGGACCCACAAGAGAAGGATCTGAACCTCCATCTTTACCCCCCAGGACGTATATAGCTAAAAATAAGGCACCTCCTCTTCCGCCAAGGGTACGCGCTCCACCCATCCCTCCCAGAAAGACTGATAAGAAAGCTGGTGTTGCTCCCCCATCCCCTAACTCTGTTTGTGATACTGCCCCTGTAGATGCCCTAGAACCCCCTCCCCTTCCTCCTCGGACATACAGCCCTGTAAACATGCAAGGAAACACTGGGCCCACCCAACCAGGGTCACAAGACGAGGATGCTGACAGATCTAGTTTTAACAGCCTTGAAGCCTTTGCTGGTTCAAGAGAAAATTCTCATAATGAGATAACGGATATTTTAGGTGCTGAAGGTGGAGGTATAACTCCTGTGAACAGTGGTGACCAGGAAGTGTTTCCTTGGGGTCAGAGTTCAGAAGGTCAGACAACCCCACAAAGACCCGATGTGCATCATACGAAAGGTGATGTCAGACGGTTAAGTGCTGCTGCAGCAACAAGCTCATCTCATGTTCATATACCGGATCACCCTCGTAGTCGGAACTCAGTTCCTACGCTCTCGGACCAATTAGCATTAATACCCTCGATAGAATCAGCTACTTCTAAGCCCAAATCCACTAGATCCCACCCAAAACTGCGTCGGACTGGTGGCTTAGAAAGTCAGTCCATGGATGGAATCTCACCTTCAGACTGTCACCATGGCGACAGAGCTTGTGGAGAAGAGCATCATAAGTGTTCAAAGGCACACAGTGTCAATGGCTCCTCTCCTCAAAGGTCGTCAAGTTTCCACAACGCATCCCCCTCCCCTCCCCGCATTCACCCCCGGAATCGGATACTGTCTGACGAGGAGAAGCAACAAAACAGACAGCAGATTGCTCAACATTTGCAGATATGGACTCAGAAACAGAGAGAGAAGTCTGGCAGTCCCAAACCTGAAGGTCAACCTTCAGAAACTGGACTTGGTAGCATGGCAGCTAGTTATACAGAAGGTTGTGACGGTGCGCATCGGTCGGGGCTGAGGCCTCACCGCAAGCTGCTCAAGTGGTGCCTGGGGGTCAAGGTAGTCACGTGACCCCCAGCAGTAGTCAGAGTGGTCCTACACCTCAGGTCAGTCAAGCGAACACAGGCAGCCATGATGGCTCCAACCAGGGCAGGAAACACAGATATGACAGAGACTCCGTAGACGGAGGTGCCCGGTCACAAGGTGGAGCTGTGGGTGAGTCAACGCCCCCTGGTGCTAGTGCTGTGTGGCAACCGCGCAACCCAGACTCTGCATCACCAGGGCAGAGGACAAGCGTTGCATCTTCAGGTAAGCTTTCTCCACTTCCTCTTTAACAGGTTGGCAATTTATGAAATAAAAATAAAATGATCTTATCAGACCCAGAATAGTTTTGGTAATGGTTCTAAATGGTCAAATGCCCAAACTCAAGCGTTATATTTTATAATGAGCAGCAGGTGCAAAAAGGTTATTACTAGGTTCAAGTAGGTTTCATTCCTGAAATCAAGCAATGGTATTGATGATGTTTTTTGTCCTTTCTTGTTAATGGATCGGTCATTGCTAGTCATGGACTCAAATCAAAGATCTTGTTGGCTGAAGAGGTGGTTTTATACCCTAATGATTAAAGCGTTCGCTCGTCATGCTGAAGACCCAGGCTCAATTCCCCACATGGGTACAATGTGTGAAGCCCACTTCTGGTGTCCCCTGCCGTGATATTGCTGAAGGCTGCATAAAACCAGGGTCCCAATCCACAAAGTGTTCGTAACGTTATGACCTGTCTTAACTCTAACTTAACTTTATAATAGGCTTACGAATGTCGTAGTTGCTACAAACGCTTTGTGGATCGGCACCCAGGCCCACTCACTCTTTAGTCTGAAAGCACCATATTCTCGCTGATCCTGTTCATGCATAAGACTTGATCATTTAGAGTTCCTTCCCACTGTAGAAATGCATGACATTGTTCATACTGGAATGCTGTCCAAAGTAGCATTTCAATTCCCATTAGCCAGAACAGATTAACTATAGTCATAGGAAGAAATTGGTTTTATTGGTTGTTTGACGCCACACTCAGCAATGTTCAAGCTATGTGGAGGCCTTCTGTAAATAATAAAGTCTGGACCAGACAGTTCTGTAATCAACACCATGAACATCGATCTATGCAAATAGGATATGATGACATGTGTCAACAAAGTCGGAGAGCCTGACCACCCAATTCTTTTAGTCGCCTCTTACAACAAGCATGGGTTGCTGAAGACCAAATCTTATCCAGATCTTCTCAGGTCACCACACCAAGTGTGACTGAATATGGTGGATGGCGGATTTGACAATTGGTCAGTCTTGATAGCTAAAGTTTCAAACACTTTCTTATAGCTCACTGGTTAGGAAGAAATTCAATGTTGAGCATTGAATAAGTATATCTTCTGACTGGCAACATGTTTCGCAAGCCTATTGCTAACATTATTATATATATGTGTATGTCTTTCCAGTAAGTGACAATGATGCAACGTTGCCTAAAGTCCCAGCAAGGAAACCTAAGTATCACCGTATAGAACCACCCCCTGGTGAAGAGCCTCTTCCTAAAGGTATCAATGGCAAGTTACCACTTGTCTCATAACTCTGTTAGGCTCATGAAGGGACACCTCTGGCAGAGGAATATATAAAAGTAATTTCACATCAGCACCTGGGCCCCAATCTCATATCCAGAGTGTTATATTTTCATTCTGTTTTAATAAATGCACCTCTTATCACAAACTTAGCTCAGAATTTTGATTACCGCTGAGTTTAAGATCTTCAACCACTCGAAATGACTCTTATGGAAGAGGGCAATGTGTCTAATTTTAAAAATCATAGCCATGTTGCCATTAAATCAAACCAGAAAACTCTACGTATATATACTTTTCAAAATTTGTCAAAATAGAATGGGCATGTAGCGCACTGGATAATTGAGGCTGCTGAATCCCCTTCCACAAAGTGACTTACGACAACCATTATGTTAAGCTTGGTGATCTTAGCACTGGGATGGTTATAGGTCTTCACTCAAGGATGGAACTTGCAACACACTAATGCTAAGATCACTTTGTGGAAGGGGCCCCTGATGTGTTCTACGAAGCCATCTTTGCTGGAAGCGTCTCTCTGCAGTCACACAGGGCTGTGAAATGAGAGTTGATCAGTGTCAAGCGCCATGTAGTGTAACTCTGTTGTGTTGACCCCTTGGTGCCACCTTCTGTCCTCTGTCATCCCGGAACACAACACTGGTTATCTCCCTTCTTTTGGTTGCGTTGTATACAGTGGAATCCTCATAAACCAGACTTGCTTGGTATCAGCACTTAAGTCCAGTTTAGACAGCAGTCCAGATTAGCCAGGGGTCTGATTATAATGAATGTCAACATCAGATACATGTATGATCAGGTCTGAGGGATATGTCCTGGGAAAACAAATGACCTCTCTATATAAAATGTTTCAGAATCATCCATAGGGTAGCTGTCTTGTGCAGCAGTCATGCTTCTCCTTAATTAACAGATAACAGATAGAGAACCGTAACCTAAATTCGTGGATAACCTTGAGTCTCGGATCGCGGTAATTATCATGCTGTCTCGCAAATTAGGTCGCGTATGACGTCTGAAGCGGTACATTTGATGAACATACAGTGCCATGCCTCGCTGAAAAATGTTCCGAATCTCTGCATTACACATAAGTACACTAAATCTTATTGTCCAGCACAGATAAATAGCGAAAGATCACTAATGCCACTAATACCAATATTTACAAATGTCAAGTAAAAAAAGACACCATTAGCACCAACCTTCTCACATCCCAATGTGTGCTGTGCTTTCCTGCTCCTAGTGTCAATACTTACTGCAATGGGCTGTCATACAAAGCGATTTTTTGTAACTAACTACGTAATCCACGAAACAAGGTGACATCACATTTTGTGTGCACACAAATTGGTGATGATTGCAAATGGCTTCGGTAAACAAATGTTTAATTCATGAGTGGAATATTAGGCATTTTCAATTTGCTGAATCAGTGAGTATACAAAATGAAATGGTGCATTTAAAATATGATTTTTGTTGCACTTCCCTTATATCCACAAATCAAGGTTACGCGAGTGTTTTTATGACCGTATCAACAGCTCATAAGGAAATGCTATTTTTCAACAAAATTAAACTGTCATATTCACATTCAATCCTTATTAAATATAACTGTTTAATGTCATTGGGTTTTTAACAGAATTTGAAATCATTTTTAACCCATACCCAGCAATATAAAACGTCAAGTCAGGGGTGGAAATAACCGATTGCCCGACACCCGAGTCCAGTGTTCTTTGCTCTCGGGCAAGCAAATTTGTATATCACACTGTACTGGTGTCCAGTTGATATTCCAATCTTAATTATGTTGTTTATTTAAAAAATCAACAAGAAAACGGCCGGTATAGTGGAAAAATTATCAGGGCAAGTGATTTTACATGTGCCACTGTACCAGAGTACACTAGCAATTTTAAAGTTATTTCCACCCCTGCAAGTGAAGCTGAAGAAACATTGTTTACCGAACATCCCATCCTCGATAATCTCCAGGGTATATGTCACAATAACTCTCCACTATACCCTGGATGCATCAACGGCTTTAGCTTATTAGCTGTTTTTTTATCCAATCAGGTGCCTATGCTGGGAAGTTGAGTGTACCAATCACAACTCACTTTCGCTTCTTAAATTATCTAACCGTTTAAACTTGGCAACACAATTGATGCAGAGGTATTCTGAAAGAAGTAGAAGGAGTTCTTTCATATATTTTAAAGTTTCAGATCTGTGAATTTGTCTTTATTATTTCCCCCAAAATCTGAGTGGCACTGCGAACAAACCTTCGCGACTGCAACCACTATTTTTGTTGACACTGGCAAGCTCAGTTGTAACGGCGGCTTAGCTGATTGGCTACTGTCAGAATGCGGAGCCAGCCAAGGGAGGTAATAAAATCATCGCCTCAAGCCGTGGATGCATCCAGGGTATAATGGAGAGTTATCGTAACGTATACCCTGGAGATTATCGAGGATGCGAACACCCTAGCAGACATCCAATATAGACGGGTGAAGATTAGGAATCATCATTTACAGAATAAATCATTTTCAGCCCATAATGAAGGAAGTCCGGTTTAGACAGATTCCACTGTATGTCTTTCTGTCTCCATTAAGGAATAAGTTTATCTAAATTTTGTTTTCAAATTCACAAGTTTTATTGAAATTGACAAGCACACTGATCAACAGTGACAACATGGTAAGAGATCATCTGTTGATTTATCACATATTTATTGTTTTGTTGAAAATAATCCTCATCCTTTTTTGTCATGAAGTAATATGCATGTTTTGTTTTGCCTATTTATCGTTGTTTATTGTTGTTTTCGACATTGGTAGATGGTTGACCTTTCATTGTCAGTTGTCATTATACTCAAATGCAAAAGTAACTGTGATGGTATAAAGTTATTGTAACTGGGCATATGAAGTTAGGTATATTGATATTGACTATAAAACCGTGATAACTGTGGGTCATCGTTAATTGTGTACATGTTATTAATTTAATTTTCACTCAATTTCAAACATTCCTTACCGGTTTGTGTTTGGTATTCCTGAAGACCGAAGACCTGGGTTCTATTCTCACATGGGTACAATGTGTGAAGCCCATTTCTCATGTCCCCCACTGTGATATTGCTGGAATATTGCTAAAAGCAGCGTAAAACTAAACTCACTCTCTCATTGTTTTAAAAAAGGTGGGTCACACCTTTATTGTTTGTTCCCTCACATATGTAACCAAAGATTTCACTGAAAATGAAATAAAAAATCTACTGTGCATGTATTTATCTGGAAAGAATTTTAAAAGTTTAAGGCCTTTGTCGAGAACACAGCTCACTTTGGTTTTATTCAGTTTGAATTGGGGAATTAAGAAATCACTTGCAGTTACTTTTACCTTTGAGTATATTTTTTTACTTAATCTCAATTTGTTGTGAATGTGTAGTCCTGTGTTGTAGTAATAATTACTGGAGTGTTGTAGTATTAATTACAGGTGTGTTATAGTAATCACAGGTGTGTTGTAGTAATCACAGGTGTGTTGTAGTAATCACAGGTGTGTTGTAGTAATTACAGGTGTGTTATAGTAATCACAGGTGTGTTGTAGTAATTACAGGTGTGTTGTAGTAATTTCAGGTGTGTGAGTTTTTGTTATAAATATAACTCTCCCCTACACCAGGCTGGGAGGCACGGGTAGACAGCCATGGGCGGATATTCTACATCGATCACAACAACCGAACAACAACATGGCAGCGACCCCAGGTCGGACATGTTGTTGCTCATCGCCGCCCAACCATCAGCTCGGAACAGAGACAGCAACTGGACAGAAGGTGGGTGCATTGGTTGTCATTTAAACTGAATCCAACAGTGTATCAGCTATCATGAGGCCCTGTCTTGTGTTTGTTGTTTAATGCTACATTTTTCCACCTACAGTCAAATCCCGATGAGTCGAATCGCTGGGGACCAAGTAATAAATTTGACTTATCGATGTATTCGAGACATAGGTATATCTATGAGGGTAGAAAAGAAGATGATCCAGTCCTAATTCCTCCGCCTAAGCATTTGTTTATCTAATGATTTCCATATCACTAATAGGGGCACCTTATCAGTTCCAGTTTGATTAGCACAGACTGTGATTTCCGTAAAATCACTAATCTGCCTTTTGAACTCACCCGTCAATGGCGGAAAGGTGTGAGCTGCGCTGGTTTGTTAATTGGATCAGTTTGCTACACCAATCAACTTCTCATTGACTGACTTCGGCTTATGTATACAAGATTGCTGTTGTTTGAATCTCATGGGACCAAAGTTCCTCGTCGAGTCATCGTGTGTATTTATGAGACGAATTCGTGTAACCGGAAATCAAATGATGACAACTATAACAGGGAATGGACTAGGTAGTTGATGATCAAGAGATTGTGATTGTCATTGTTTACAGGTACCAGAGTATACGACGGACAATAACAGCCAGTCGGCAGACTGACCCCGAGAACACATCGTCGGGCTCAGACACAGCTTCTCCTGGTGCAGGTATGTACAGATGTTGCCTATAGTGGTGTGATCAGTATCAGTCAGTCAGTGATACAGGGTATGGTTTGCTCTGCATCCTTTCACAAATCAGCTTGATTATATGCACTTTGACAGGTTTGCAAACCAGTACCAAAAAGGGCTACTGAAGATCAATTCTAACCCGGATCTTCATGGGTCTGAAAATTGTGCCATTGATATTATCATATAACTGTTGTAATATGACATAGCGTTTCTAGTTACCCTCACATTATACAAAGTTACCCTTCTATTTGTGGGATACTTTGAAATTATGTTCAGAACTAGTGATGTGAAATAGGATGATTTCTTTTAGACTTCACTGGCATTTTTGCTCAGAGTAACTTCTCCGATATTTATCAATAATTGATCAATATGTAGTTAACTATTATCTATCTCTCTAATCTATGTTGATCGCTATCCCCGGTACAAATCAGCATTTTGTGTTTGGGTCAAGTACTCAGATTGGTCATTTATCAATTTGTGACGTAAGCCAGTAGTTAGTAGTGGTCATATATCATTGTCTGACGTAAGCCAGTAGTTCGTAGCCTGAGTAAAATTCTGTTCAAAATAGTGAGATCAGATAATAATGGTCTATACAATGACTCTAACAGGTATTGTAAACCAAAAGTCACTGTGTTCTTTAATCTGATTGGTTGATAAACATGATCAAATGGTATTCGATTCCTGGAAATTCGCTGCGTATTAATACATACAAACATCGTTCACACCATTGTATTGTTACGTCGTCAGCTGAGATGACGTCATTCAAATCATATTGTGACTTAAAGTCCGAAAGACGTCACAAATGAGCAGTTCCAGATGCTACCATGGGAGACAGCCGAAACGGCCGGCTGATGACATTACACTGCTGTACGTCAATGAGTGCAGACACAAAAACGTGTGTGGACCTTTTGGTTTACTTTTGTGTTTACAATGTCGATAAACATCATGTGTTGGCCAATTTCCGGGTGATATTGAGTATTTGAAGCACAGGAATATTTCATATGAAACCTTCGGCTGACGCCGTCAGTTCCAAATGAATTCCCGTGCTTCAAATACTCAATAACACCCGGAACAGTCAACACATGATGTTTATCTCCTAAGTGAAAATGAATTGGAATATTCCTGAAGTGAAGTCAAACCTTACTCACTCACTTCCCTTTACTTCAGCTGCACCTGCATCTACGGAGAGTTCCCCCCAGGCCATGCCGCTAGCCGAGAGAACCATCCACAAACTACCTGCCATCAAGTTCCTCACACGACCAGACTTCTTCCCCATGCTGCAGGCTAATGAGGTGAGTGGCATCACTTTACTTTACGTTGCCAAACATCTGTCCCATACGTCTGTCATTTCACTGAGTACAAGGCATTATTATTGCATTTTCTTGATATCAACTCTGGAGGTGGGGTAGCCTAGTGGTTAAAGTGTTTGCTTGTCACTCTGAAGACCAGGGTTCGATTCTCCACATGGGTACAATTACTGAAGCCCATTTCTGGTGTCTCCCGCCATGATATTGCTGGAATATTGCTAAAACTAGTAAAAGTGGCAAAAAATCATACTCACTCATTCACTGTTTTTGCAGGCTGCTATGGCAGATTACAACCGGAACGGAACTCTCAAACACATGATCACTCGCATCAGACGTGACCAGCACGCTTTTGAAAGGTTTGTGCTCATTTATGTTTTCATTATTCATGTTTTGGGGACAGGAGAGAGTTTAATGAAAATCTGTTGAGAACACAAGAAAATACAAAGAGTAATCATTGAATAATCAAGTTTTGTACAGGTGCTTTTAGGATAACTTCCACATTTTTCTGAAAAATGTTCTGTGCAGATATTTGGATCAGAGTATATGTAATTGACTCACTAGATGTTACCCTTGAAGATCCTGGTTAGAATTGGTCCTCAGCAAACCATGCTTGTCGTAACAGGCGACTACCAAGATCGGGTGTCAGACTCACTGACTTGGTTGACACATGTCATCAGTATCCCAGTTGAGTAGATCAAGGCTCATGCTGTTGATCACTGGATTGTCTGGTCGAGACTAGTTTATTTACAGACCGCCGCCATATAGCTTGAATTTTGCTGAGTGCAGTGTTAAACAACAACCAAACCACATTAGATGGTCAGGGCCAAGCTTGTGATGATACTACATTGCTGAAGACCTCAATGATAGTCGCTCTGGTGCTGACAGAGCACCAGGGCAACAGGTGTTAAGCACATTGTGTGACAGGTCAGTACAGGCCTTGAATTTGACAGTATAGCATTGATCTGCCTTCAAACTTCACCTTGTACAGAAGTTGATGGTTATTGCTGCTGACAATAAATATATGTTACAATGATTGTGTTTTCTCTACTTATGCTAGTGATTAGTAATGACAAATTGTTGATTGATGGAAAATGTTGGTAAGCTGGTGTGTGAACTTTATTATTTTGATGGGATTTTTTTATCTTAACATGAAGGCATTCAGACAAACAGTGAAACTATTAGAAAGCATGAATTTGTAGTAGTTTTGTTTGAAAGCTGACTTGCAATTGCAATCATTGCCTTGTAAAGGGCCTGTATAAAAGAGAGCTTGTTTGTTTGAATAGTGGAATATTCCTGCTGTAAACAAGGTAAAGGGGAATACGGGCCCAGACATGAGACCTTTGTTGATAAGGAATACTTGATATTTTAAGGATGCTTTATGTATCAATTGAGATCCGGGTTAGAATTGATCTTCAGCAGCCCATGCTTGTCGTAAGATACGACTAACATGATCGGGTGGGCAGGCTCGCTGACTTGGTTGACACATGTCATCGTATCCCAATTGCGTAGATCCATGTTCATGTTGATCACTGGATTGTCTGGTCCAGATTCAATTACTTACAAACGCCCCAAATATAGCTGAAATATTGGTGAGTGCAGCTATAAACAAACAAAGAAAGAAATTATGTATCTATTGCAGAGGCTTTTGGTGGATTCAACACTATTATGACATATACTTGTATTTTTGTGAAAATGTTTTTTCTAGGTATCAGCATAACCGTGACCTTGTGACGTTCCTCAACTTGTTTGCTGATGGTGAAAAGGAGCTGCCTCGAGGCTGGGAGATGAAGTTTGACAGGACAGGGAAGGTGGGTGGAGTGAACAGTGCGCTCGCTCACTCACTCACTCACTCACTCACAAACTCACTTACAAAACTCATGAATTCACAAACTCACTCACAAACTTACTTACAAAACTCACGAATTCTCAAACTCACTCATGAACTCACAATCTCACGAACTCACTGTTAACTCTGTCTGTTTATTATTTATATTAATTTCATTATTCAGACACAGACACATTCTTTTTCAGAGAGATCGTCCTTGGGGTACATATTATGCATTTTCCGGCTGAAAAATGTCCTGTGACAGTTGTATCAATGTTTTTTGAATAAAAAGATTGAACAATAAATAAACTCTTTTATTTATTATACGGCCCCTACCTCACGGAGTTACCTCCCTTAGAGCATGCGCACCAACTGGGTAGGCTCCTAGACCCGTATCATCATTCCTTCTGCTGTCACTGCCGTGAACAGACGTGTTTTGTTATTGAACGCACTTCATGAGCGGACAGCTGAAAGCTAATAAGAAAGCTATGTCTGAGACACCACCTGTATGTATGGTCTTTATTTGCCTAAAACAAGGAACAGTAAAGCTTTACAGTTGGTTGTTTCATAATTGTGACTTTGTATTAATACAAAATGCGAACTTTCCGTGGTTTCACATGCGTGTTGCTCTGCCATGGCGGGAAGTTTAGCGTGCCATGTGGTCGTGTAATAATTTGCGTATTAAAACCAACTATTACTTTCCGTGGTAACCTTCGCGTATTTTTCAATGTTTTCTACGTGTTTATATGCTGCTGGCGGCTGTTAGCTACATGCTTGCGTGTTTGCTTTCAGGCCTTTTCATCCTGTTAGGTCTGTGGACAGAGAGAAATTCCACGGGCCGACAGGCATGAGCTATCGTTGCCTGTCTCGAGAAGGCAGACCACGGACGCTGATTCCTGCCCTATTTGTCTGGCCTTTTCCCCGGGCCCAGAAGAGGCGGCGGCCGATACGTTGTTTTATCGTGAGATGCGTGGCGGGGAGGGACCTGGCGCAGGTCCCCGTCTAAAACAAAGCGAGCGTCAAAAAGGGGAAAATCCGAGGCCCTTCCCCTCTCCTACCGCCCGAGTGGTTTTGACATGTCGGTAATGGAATCTATGTTTCAGCAGCATATGGACTCCGTGAAGTCCGCCGTTCGGAAGTCGGTTGGAGTCTCGGCAGGAGTTCCTCACCCACTCCGGGCCGGGCGGAGAGTCGGGGTGGGATCGCGGGCTCGGCTCGATCCCTCAGCCTTGAGGCGTCTGTAGATCCGTTGCCTCTGGCCCGGATCCGGACGCCTCGGCTGCTCGGAGAGGAGGGGCTCCCAGTCCCCTCGGAGTTAAGCGCAGGGACCGTTGAGTATTCCTGGTATTCCGGTCCTTGCGCACACCCCCATGAGGCGGAGGCACCAGTTCTGCCTGGCCTGCCTCCAGCGTCTCGGGGACCGGGTCCGCGCCGCGCCCGGCTGGGCTGGCGTGGAGCCATCTGTCTGTTCTTCCCTTCCTGTGGTTCCTAAGCTAGGCAGTCCACCGGGTCGGGGGGTTAGGGTCCTCTTACGGAGGAGACCCAGCCTCGGACTTCGGGCTCGGGCGCCGAGTCAATGGAGCTTAGGGGAGGTTGAGGAGCAATGGCGGCTTCCGTTTTGCCGGCCTTGCGGGAGGTCCGGCAGAGAATTGCCGAGGGGCCTACCCCAGGCAGCGGTGCCTGCTGGTTGCGTGGACTCGACTGAGTTCCGCTTGCCAGGCGGCGTTTGCCCTAGGCAACCCTGCATGAGCGCAGCTCCGCATTCTGCCTTCGTTGGTCACCGGATGTGGTCGATCCCCTCTTGTCTGGTGCCCGATGCGGTTTGACTTACGGATCTCGTCGCGGCGCTACCAACAGGGGAGGATTCCCTGTTCGTTGTGCCAATTGTAGGCGAATGTGTGTTCACTTCCATTAAGCCCTGGGGGAGGCTCGGCTTCCTCGGAGCAGCTCCGGCTGCTCGGCAAAAGCGCCTTACTCCACCTTTTGCCCTCGCGGAATCCCCTGCGGCAGCGTGCGGACCTACGAGGAGGTCTGCGGAGCAGCGATGCAGCAGGTGCGGGTGGTGGTCCATGAGGCCTACCTCTCCCTCGGTTCAGAGGGTCGGCCCTGGGCGGAGGGGCATGCTGGCGGCGATGTCGCGCGCATGTCGTGCTGCTCCGTCAGCTTCCGGAAGTTCAGGCTCACCACCTGGCGACTCTTTGCGGTCTGCTGCGTCGGCGGTGATAATGCGCCAGTCATGGGGATCGCGCCAGGCTGTGGCTGTCGGCGTCTAGGTACTTCGGCAGCAACAAAGCAGACCTTGCTGGCCCTCCTTTCCGTCTGGGGCGACCCTCTTTCCGGGGCCCAGCAGGTCATCACGGGGAGGCTGCGCTGCAGCTACCTCCTTCAAGGACTCTAAGGCCTTGTTGGAGCACCAGCGGGTGTCAGCAAGCCCAGCGCTCCGTGCCACCTTCCTCCGCCGAGGTGCAGCCTACACCCGAGTCTGCCGGCTGGCCCGGCCGCTTGGTAGGGGTAGGCGGAGGAACAGGTCCGCCAAGGGTAGGGGCAAGGAGCAGTCCTCGACTAGCTCCCAGCCAGCAAGGGCGCGGGGGAGGTCTGCCCGACCTCCGTTAACCCATCAGGCTGCCGCTCAAGCCGTGTGTCGCGCCCAGTCAGCTCCGCTACTTTCGGGTCTACACGCGCTCCTACCCCATATCCCAGTGGGAGGCGCCTCTCTCTATTCCTGCGGAATGGGAGAAGGCTACCAACAGCAGCAGGTGCTGGCCACGGTCAGCATAGGCCATCTCCCACTGTGGGCGCGAGGTCCGCCCGACTTCACGGCATCACGTCGCACTCGGTGCCGTCATGTCAAGCCAGAGGCGGACATATTGCGGACGAAGTTCAGGCTCTGCTGGACAAGTCCGCAATCGGCGCATTCCACGGGAGAGGAACAGGCGGGATTTTATTCCGCGTACTTCCTCGTCGAAGAAAGGCGGGCGGGTTCCGTCCGATTCTCAACCTCAAGGGGTTGAATCGCATGCTTTCGAAGTACCATCCTTCAAGATGGAGACACTGCGCTTCGGTGATCTCATCTGTTCAGCCCGGCGATTGGCTCCGTCAATCGACCTAAAGGATCGCGTATCTGCATGTACCCATCCATCCATCGTTCAAGCAGTACCTTCCGGTTCTCTTCACGGCGGGATGTATTACCAATTCAAGTGCTCCCCTTCCGGCATATCGACTGCCCCAAGGGTGTTCACCAAGCTCATGTTAGTCCCAGCTACCCTAGCTTCGCTTCGCAAGGAAGGCGTTGTTACCCTTACCTAGGCGACTGGTTGCTCGGAGCACTAACACAGCCAGCGAGTCAAGATGCTACTCACACAGTGATAGACATTCTAACTTTCGACTGGGGTGGATCATCAACCTCAAGAAATCCGACCTGGTACCCACCCAGGACTTGGTTTTTCTTGGGTAGCGATTCAAGCGAACAAGGATCTCGTTTCCTTGTAAGCCCGACCGGTCACCAGAGTTAGGAGATGGTATCTTCATTCCTCTCCCAGCCCCAGGCACCAGCGCGGACTTGGCTCCGTCTACTGGAGCCATATGGCGTGACGATCTCTGTAGTGTGGCGGTAGCGGTTGAGATCGTCCCATACAGCAAGCTTTGGCTCGGCTGTGGACTCACCGCGGAGGATCTGGGCGCAGTCTCACAGTCCCAGTGGTTGACACCTCACCTTCAGTGGTGGACAAATGTCGGGGAATCTCACCAGGGGTTCCCCTTGGAAATCCGGCGCCAGCTCTCACAGTTCAGACCCGATCGTCCCTCACGGGCTGGGGGTGTTCTGGGCAGTCTGTCGGCTTCGGACTCTGGTCGAAAGCGAAGCCCACCTTCACATCAAGCGTGTTGGAACTGAGAGCTGCAATGCGGTTGGTATTGGCTTCAGAGAGCATGTCCGTGGCCAGGTAGTCCGTCTTCAGTTAGACAACCAGGCGGCCATGTCGTACATCCTGAAGCAGGGGAGGCCGCGGTGTCCCTAGCTCCTCCGGGGGGCGTGGGACTTTCTCCTCTGGTGCGACCAATGCGATTGTCAGGTACTCCTGTTTATCTCCGGGGCTGGAGAGCGTCGCGAGCAGATCGCGGCTCTCGCCGGATCCTGGCCCCCGCAATCAGTGGATGCTTTCGACAGGCAGATATTCACAGTAATCTCCCAGTTATGCAGGTGCGTTCGAGGTGGATCTGTTTGCGTCGGCGGGGCGCATCAGACCTCCGTGTTCTGCTCGGATACGGACCCAGAGGCGTTGGCTGCCGGCGCCTTCCTGCTGGATTGGGCCGGGCAAAGTGCTCTGGGCGTTCCGCCCGTTACCACTCATTCCCGTGTCCTTTCACAGCTGTCCACCCAGCCAGCTCGGCTACTTGTGCTACTGGCACGCTTTGGCCGTCCACAGAGCTGGTTTCGGTAATTCTCAGGTTTCTGGCTCAGCCTCCTGTTCTATTACCTTTGCGACCGGACATTCTCACTCAGAGCGGGCCCACCCAAATCCCGGATTCAGTGGGTGGCTTGGCCTCTGTCAGGTCTAACCTCGAGGCCGCGGAATTCCTGCAGCAGTTGCAGACACAATTCTGGCCGGTGGGATTCGACAAGCGTTCAATCACGAGGATAGGTGGTCCGCTATGCGCTGGTGTTCAGATAAAGGGGATTGCAGATCCCTTTTCTGCGGATTTAGTCAGTATTGGAGTTTTGCAAGCTCGTTTGGAAGAAGGCCTGGCGGCCGACCATTGGCGGCTACTCCACCGCTATTTCCACTTTTCACACCCTGTCGATGGTGCTCTTCTGGGGCAGCACCCTCTCGTCTGGCGCTTTCTGGCTGGCGGAGCGGATTCGACCTGCTCTCAGGCGAACCAGTCCACCTTGGGATTTGTCGATTGTGCTTTCGATTGGCTGTCGGTCCCACTTTCTCACACCTATCGGCTATTTCCATTCAGTTGTTGACCTGGAAAGCTGTTTTCTGGTGGCGGTAACATCTGGTCGTAGGGTCGGCGATTTACATGCTATGTCGTCCGACCGGCTGACTTTAATGTTTCACCGCGGATCGTGTCAGTATTAGCCTCCCAGATACTTACCGACCGAAGGTCGATCCACGCTTTCCATGTGACAGCTCCTATCGAACTTCCTACTCTTACCCAGCCTTCCACGCCGGGGACCACTCCTCACTGAGCACTCACCCGTTGGATGTCCGTAAGGCAGCTCAAAGTCTATATCAAGCGAGCGCGGGGGATCCGTGCGGGTACCCAGCTGTTCTGTTGTTACGGTGGCGGGAAGGCTGGTCTGCCAGCGAGCAAGCAGACTTTGTCAAGCTGGCTAGTCTCTAAATATTTGTGCGCTTATCAGGCTAAGGGCAAGCCTCCCCTGAGGGGTTGAAGGCTCACTTTCGGTCAGGGCAGTAGCAGCCTCAAAAGCTTTTGCATCGGCACTCCCCATTGAAGAGATCTGCTCCGCCGCTATTTGGAGCCGGAAGCGCGTTTATCGCCATTATCAGCTCGATCGCATTCCGTAATCGTGCGAGCTTTAGCCGTACTGTTCTCTCCAGTGGACAGTGTCCTGCCACCCTGACCGAGTGAGTCTTGGTTTATTGGTTTGTTTTTGGCTACTGTACAATAATTCCATTATTGACATGTCTGCTACTGTGAGCTCACTCAGAGAACCTGTACCCCCTTTCGATTCTCTCTGGAGTTACTATATCGTTAGTGAGTGGTATTTTGCATTCCCCTCACGGTGCTCTCATGTAGCCACTTAGTGGGTGGGGATTCATTGACATTAAGCACTCGTGCAATGTCTCATTATGCTAGAGAGGTCGTCTTTGAGCACAATTCCTCCCTGTCAGTTCCCCTCCCATAATGCCTCGGCGAGGCGAAACTGGGACAAGTGACAGGTGAGTGTTATGGCGTCTGTTCAATTTTTTCCATGATCACGATCGCTATATTTGTGTGTGCTTGGACAGAATTCCCTCCTCCCTGGCCTCCGGTCTTTGGGAGTCTGTGTTTATGCATAATATGTACCCCAAGGGCGATCTCTCTGAAAAGAATTAACCAAACCTGCAGAGGTTTTCAATTCTTTGAAGAGTAGATCCTTGGGGTACAAGGCTCCGCCTCCCACAATTCTGTTCACTGATATATTCAGCAGAAGGAATGATGATCACGGGTCTAGGAGCCTACCCAGTTGAGTGCGCATGCGCTAAGGGAGGTAACTCCGTGAGGTAGGGGGCATTATAATAAATAAAAGAGTTTATTTATTGTTCAATCTTTTTATTCAAAAAACATTGATACAACTGTCACAGGACATTTTTCAGCCGGAAAATGCATAATATGTACCCCAAGGGCGACTCTCTTCAAAGAATTGAAAACCTCTGCAGGTTTGGTTAAGTTTTTGGTCACAAACTTCACCGATTACCATACAGAAGGACTGTCTACAACTTACGTTACAAAATATCACTGTGTGAGAGTGAGTCATTTTCTCTGACACTCAAGAAATATTTGATAGACAGTGATTCAGATTATTGGTATTGTACAGTGTGCAGTATGCCAGTCTCCCAAAGTACATGATGACGTTGCACATTGAATTATTATTTTTTTAGAACATGAAACAACAATCAAATAAACTAAAGAAAAATTTGTCAGTAGTATATTTCTATTTGTAGGCATTTTTTATTGACCATGCCTATCGAACAACCACATTCATCGACCCACGGCTGCCAACAGACATCCCTCCAATCAACCCTGACTTTCTGCAGACACCCATAGCTAGAGGACCCAGCAGGGCTGCAAGGAATGACCCCCTTAGACTGGACGCTGTAAGTCAGAACATAAGTCTATGTGCAAATAATTATCGTATCATAAACTTGTATGACCAGGCATAGTTTCCAACACAGGCAGAAATGTAATTTTACCTCATAAGTTACCTGTTAAAATCGGGGCAATCTTCATTTATGACTTCAATCAGATCTGACGTTAGAACTGAATTTTTACCAGACAACCATAACAATCTTGATGAGTAAATGTTCAGGGTGGCCGTGAGATAGCCTGGTTTGCTCTACATGCTGAAGACCCAGGTTCGAGTCCCCTGGAAATATTGCTAAAAGCGGCGTAAAAGTAAATTCACTCACACACTCAAATGTTCAGCTTCCCAATGGATCTGGTTTCTATTTTACGTATTCAGGACACAAACTTTCAAGTCCAATAAATCTCTTTCATCCTGTCACAGTATTCTGTAAACAACAAATTTGAATATTGACTGGGAAAATTTTACAAAGATTAAACAATAGGCTCCTCATATTTCAACATATTCTCAGTGATAGTAGAGAAGGTAATTTTAAAGGATACTTATTGGAGATGAAATTACGGATTGTCTATCACTCGTGAATCCATGACAGGAGGCATAGTCTGTTATTCCCCTGCTTGCAGGCAAATCTTGAATTATTCCAGACATGTCTGAAATGCATGAAATGCATCATGAATAATTCATGGGATCAGTGTTGTTCCTGCTTGAAATATGTTTTTCAAATCTACTGCTGCTAATCTAAATGAACCAGGACAAAATGCATCTGAGCTGCTTCCATGTGTTTCAGCCGGTGCCCCCTCCCCGGCAGCCCGTGGCTGACACCGTCATCCCGACAGGTAATCTTCCTCCTCATCATTATCATCATCTTCTTTGTGTGGACATGTGGGCATGGCTAGCTTTCACTCGTCAAACTCTGTATCATCAACAGTAGGCTCAACTAAAAATGTGTATTTGGTGACAAGGTTCTTACCAGTTCTATAATTGTTCTTTTTTCAACTTATGTTTTTCTTAACCCTGAAAAATGGGTTCCCTGCAGGTGACAAGTGACACACTTCACTCAAGTGTTAATGTTCTTCCAAACATTATACCAATGCACCAGTTCAGGAATTTTAATGGCTTAAATAGATGGGTATTTCAATGTTAGATTGATTTCTAAACTTTAAGTGTTTTTCTGTCAGAGTAGCATCAACATAGAGTTGGCAGTTTTGATGAGTTAATGATTCAGACAGCCGTGCCTCTTTTGCAATCCTCAGTACTGACAATTTCAACTATAGGCATCAGTTCTTGTATTCGAACAGGACGCAGTATGTGCTAAATATAGACACTGGGGATAGAGATGGTCTTTTCTAGGATGTTGATAAGTTGATGGTGGATCATTTTCAGTCTGCAGAGAATTAAATACTCAATACCATTTCACAACGGCTACATGATGCTATATTTTCTAATATTAAATTCAGTGTTTTTATGTTTTAAGTTGGAAAAAACGGCAAAACTGTTTTATCTGTTTACAGATTGAATTAGTCTGAAGAAAAAATCAACTATTGGAAATATATTTTTTATATTTCTCATTCTGTTGCAGATGTAACTGACATATATATCTGTTGTTGTTTTCCCCCGTCCATGTGCTGTATATTTTAGTGGAAAAGAATAAACGAACTGCAGTTCTAACAAACTAAAATTTGTAGCCCCATTTCATTTTGACTGTAGTTTATTGTATTTATGTTTTATTTTTGACCGATAAGATATGATAAAACCTAGCTACTCAATATTTAAATATTTCTGGTCCCAAGCTTACTATTTTATGCAGTTTGAGACAAGAAAAACACTCAAGCTGTTCATTTTCGCTTCAACATGAATGAATGAACTATAATTCTTTTTTATAGAGATCGTCCTTGGGGTACATATTATGCATTTTCCAGGCTGAAAATGTCCTGTGACAGTTGTATCAATGTTTTTGAATAAAAAAATTGTACAATTAAATAAAAATCTTTTTATTTATTATACGGCCCCCACCTCGTGGAGTTACCTCCCGTTGTGCATGCGCACCAACTGGGTAAGCACCTAGGCCAGTATCATCATTCCTTCTGCTGTCACTGCTGTATACGGATGTGTCATGCAGAGCTGAACTCTTTTGAAGTTAAGAGAATGATGTCTGGGACACCACCACCTGTATGTATGGTCTTTATATTGTCCTTGAAAAGGAACAGTAAAGCTTTGCGGTCGGTTGTCTCATAATTGTGACTTTGTATTCCTTATTTTACGCTAACTTTCCCGTGGTTTACGCACGTGTTGCTATTCCATGGCGGGAAGTTTAGCGTGCCACGTGGTTGTAATATTGCGTTTTTAACCAACTATTTCTTCCCGTGGTAGCATTCGCGTAATTTTCAATGTTTTGTGCGTGTGAATATTATGCTGCTGGTCGCTGTTAGCTACATGCTTGCGTGTTTGCTTTCAGGCGTTTTCGGTTGTACTGTCTGCGGGCAAAGTATTCCCGTGCAGACCGTCATGATAAGTGTCTAGTGTGCCTTGAAAAAGCGCGCCATACCCTGACGCGTCGCGAGATATGTATGGGCTTCTCCCCCAGCCCAGAAGAGGCGGGCTGCAGACTTTCTCTTCTATCGGGAAATCACGAGAGGCGGGAGGGAACTGACCCAGGTCCCCTGTCTAAAGCTAAAAAGCCAAAAGTAAAGGCAGAAAGGCTAGATCGGCGCAGTCAGTAGCCTTCAACTGCTCCTAAGCGGTTTCGACATGTCTCTAATCACGCAATTATTCCAGCAGCACATGGACTCGGTGAAGTCCCTTGTTCCGCGAGTCGGTTGGAGGTCTCCGCCAGGAGTTCCTGCGCCCACTTTCGGAGCAGGGGGCCGGAGAGTCTGGGGGTGGAATCGCCGAGCCGGCTCGATCCCTCGGCCTGGAGGCGTCTGTTGATCCGTTGCCTCTGGCCGGGTCTGGGCGCCTCGGCTGCCCGGAGAGGAGGCTTCGCTCCCAGTCCCCCTCGGAGTAGGTGCAGGGTCCGTTGAGGATTCCTGGGGTTCCGGTCCCTGCGCCCGTCCCGCCCCATGAGGCCGGAGGTACCAGTTTTGCCTGGTCTTCCTCCTGCGTCGGGACCCGGAGTTGGCGTGGTGTCGGGCACTGAAGCAGGGGCTGCCGGTTCTTCCCTTCCCTCTGTGTCTGGTCTTGCGCGGCCGCCCACCAAGTCGGGTTCGGGGTCTTCTCCGAAGGAGACCCAGCCTCGGACTTCGGGCTCCGGCGCCAAGTCCATGGACATTGGGGAGGTCGAGGAGCGGAGGGTGCCTTCCGTTTCTCGGCGGCTCTGAGGGAAGTCCGGCTCGCTTTGCGAGTACATTCCCCAGGCAGCGGTGCCTACCAGCCTTCGGATTTGACTGAGTTCCGCTTACCAGGCGGCGTTTGCCCCTAGGCAACCGCGCAGGCGCTGCTCCGCATTCTGCCGTCCTTGGTGCAGGGCGTGGTGGATCCCCTCTTGGCTGGGTCAGCGCCCGCTTTGACTTGCCAGAGCTTGTCAGGAGGTACCAGCTGGGGAAGATTCCCTGTTCTTCCGTGCCAGTGGTGCGGCGAATGTGTGTTCGCCCGTGCAGCCCTGGGGAGGCTCGGCTTCCTCGGAGCAGCTCTGGCTGCCAGGCAAAGGCGTTTGGCGCCACCTTTTGCCCGCGGCGCCCCTGCGGCATGCTTACGGACCTACGAGGAGGTTTACGGGCAGCTATGCAGCAGGTGCGGGTGGTGGTCCGCGAGGCCTACCTCTCCTCGATTCAGAGGTCGGCCCTGAGGCGGAGGGGCACGCGCTGGAGGCGTTTCTCAGCATGTTGTTCTCCTCCATCAACTTTCCCACCTGCAGGCCCACCTGTTGCGACTCTGCCGATGTCGACGGCGGTGATGATGATCGCGCAGTCATGGGGATGCGCAAGCTGTGGCTGTCGGCGTCTTGGTACTTTCGGCGGCTACACAGCAGACCTTGCTGGCCCTCCCCTACCGTCTGGGAGGGGCGTTGTTTCCTGGGGCCCAGCAGGTCATCCGGGAGGCTGCGCTGCAGCTACCTCCTTCAAGGACTCAAGGCCTTGTTGGAGCAACCCGGGCTTCGCCCCAGTGCTCCGTTCGGCTTCCTCCTCCGGGGTGCAGCCTACACCCGAGTCTGCTGGCTGGCCCGGCCGCTTCGGCAGGGGTAGGCGGAGGAGCCGTCCGCCAAGGGTAAGGGCAAGGAGCAGTCCTCTTCGATTGGCTCTCAGCCTTTTCGGGCGAGCGGCGGGAGGTCTGCCCGACCTCCGTTAACCCATCAGGCTGTAGGCGTGTGTCACTCCCAGTCAGCTCCGCTACCGGGACCACTCACGCACTCTTACCCAGCGTCCCAGTGGGAGGCGCCTCTCTCTATTCCTGCGGTGGGAGAAGGCTACAAGCAACGCAGGTGCTGTCCACCGTCAGTGTCGGCCATCTACCACTGTGGAGGCGAGGTCCGCCAGACTTCACCGGCATACGCCGCCTCCGGTGCTGTCATGTCAGATGCGGGCGGACATGCTGCGCTTGACGAAGTCCAGGCTTTGCTGGACAAGTCCGCTATTGGCGCCATACCACCGGGCGAGGAACAGGCGGGATTTTACTCCGCGTACTTCCTCGTTCGAAGAAAGGCGGGTTCCGTCCCATTCTCAACCTCAAGGGGTTGAATCGCATGCTTTCGAAGTTCCATCCTTCAAGATGGAGACACTGCGCTTCGGTGATCTCCTCTGTTCAGCCTGGCGATTGGCTCACGTCAATCGACCTCAAGGATGCGATATCTGCATGTGCCCATACATCCATCGTTCAAGCAGTACCTTCCGGTTCTCTTACGGCGGGATGTATTACCAATTCCACGGTGCTCCCCCGCCGGCATATCCACTGCCCCAGGGTGTTCACCAAGCTCATGTTAGTGCCGGCTACCCTCGCTGCGTTCGCAAAGGAAGGCGTTGTTACCCTTACCTCGGCGACTGGACTGGCTTTCGGTGCACTAACACAGCCAGCGAGCCTAGATTCTACTCACAAGGTGATAGACATTCTAGTTCGACCAGGGTGGATCATCAACCTCAAGAAATCCGACCTGGTACCCACCCAGGACTTGGTTTTTCTCGGGGCGAGGTTCCAAACTCACAAGGATCTTGTTTCCTTGTCGCCTGACTGGGTCACCAGAGTACGGGAGATGGTGTCTTCGTTCCTCTCCCAGCCCCAGGCACCAGCACCGACTTGGCTCCGTCTACTGGGCCATATGGCAGCGACTATCTCTGTAGTGTGGCGGGCGCGGTTGAGGATGAGCCCTATACAGCAAGCTTTGGCAAGTCTGTGGGCTCACTCGGAGGACCTGGAGCGGAGTCTCACAGTCCCCGGGTGGTTGTCTCCTCACCTTCAGTGGTGGACCAATGTCGGGAATCTCTCCATTTCTCCTGGAAATCCCGACGCCAGCTCGATGCGTCCCTCTGGTCCGAAGCCGAAGCCCACCTTCACATCAACGTGTTGGAACTGAGAGCTGTGCGGTTGGTTTTCGAGCGCTTCCGAGAGCATGTCCAGGGCCAGGTGGTTCGTCTTCAGTTGGACAACCAGACGGCCATGTCGTACATCCTGAAGCAAGGCGGCACGGTGTCCTGAGCGCTCCTCCGGGAGACATGGGACTTTCTCCTCTGGTGCGACCAGTGCGATTGTCAGGTACTCCCTGTTTATCTCCCGGGGCTGGAGAACATGCGAGCAGACGCTCTCTCTCGGCGGATCCTGGCCCCGCACGAGTGGATGCTCGACCGGCAGATATTCGGAGTTATCTCCCAGTTGTATGGGTCGTTCCAGGTGGATCTGTTTGCGTCCGGCAGGACGAATCAGACACCCGTGTTCTGCTCTCGAATACCGGACCCGAGGGCGTTGGCTGCCGACGCCTTCCTGCTGGATTGGACGGGCAAAGTGCTCTGGCCGTTACCACTCATTCCCCGTGTCCTCTCACAGCTGTCCACCCAGCCTGCTTGGCTGCTTGTGCTACTGGCACCGCTTGGGCCGTCACAGAGCTGGTTTCCGGTAATTCTCAGGTTTCTGGCTCAGCCTCCTGTTCTATTACCTTTGCGACCGGACATTCTCACTCAGAACGGCGCGCCACAACCCAATCCACGGATTCAGTGGGTGGCTTGGCCTCTGTCAGGTCTAGCCTCAAAGCACGCGGAATTCCTGCAGCAGTTGCAGACACAATTCTGGCCGGTGGGATTAGACAAGCGTTCAGTCACGAGGATAGATGGTCCCGCTATGCGGCCGCTGGTGTTCAGATAGGGGATTGCAGATCCCTTTTCTGCGGATTTAGTCCAGTATTGGAGTTTTGCAAGCTTCGTTTGGAAGAAGGCCTGGTGGCCCGACCATTAAGTGGCTACTCCACGCTATTTCCACTTTTCACACCCCTGTCGATGGTGCTCTTCTGGGGCAGCACCCTCTCGTCTGGCAGCTTTTTAGCTGGCGTGGATCGGGTTCGACCTGCTGTCAGGCGAACCAGCCCACCAGGATTTGTCAATTGTGCTCGATTGGCTGTCCGGTCCTACGTTCTCACGTCTATCGGCTATTTCCATTCAGTTGTTAACCTGGAAGGCTGTATTTCTGGTGGCGGTAACATCTGAGTGTAGGGTTCGCGACCTACATGCTATGTCGTCCAACCCGCCGCTGACTGTGTTCCACACTGATCGTGTCAGTATTCGCCTCCCGGATACTTACCGCCCGAAGGTCGATCACGCTTTCCATGTGACAGCTCCTATCGAACTTCCTACTCTTACCCAGCCTTCCACATCGGGGACCTCTCCTACGAGCACTGACCCGTTGGATGTCCGTAAGACTCTCAAGGTCTATCTCAAACGAACACAAGGAATCCGTACGGGTACCCAACTGTTCTGCTGTTACGGTGGCGGGAAGGCTGGGGTGCCGGCGAGCAAGCAGACTTTGTCTCGCTGGCTCGTCTCGGTCATCTCTGCTGCGTATCAGGCTAAGGGCAAGCCTCCCCCTGAGGGGTTGAAGGCTCACTCGGTCAGGGCAGTAGCCACGTCAAAAGCTTTTGCATTGGCACTCCCCATTGAAGAGATCTGCTCTGCCGCTATTTGGAACCGGCCTAGCAGAACCGGCCTAGTACGTTTATTCGGCACTGTCAGCTCGATACACATTCTCGTAATCGTGCGAGCTTTGGCCGTTCTGTTCTCTCCGGTGGACAGTGTCCTGCCACCCCGACCGAGTGAGTCTTGGTTCATTGGTTTTGTTGACGCTGCTGTTCAATATTGTGTTTTATTGACATGTCTGCTGCTGGGTGTATAACCTCCTTTCGATCCTCTACGGAGACTATGGTCAGTCGTGGCGTTTTTCCCCCCACGGTGCTCTCTAATTGACCACAAGGTGGGTGGGGTTTGTTTACATTCGCACCATGTCGCGAATTCTTATCTAAACCTGCGAGGTTGTCTATGAGTACATTTCCTCCTGTCGGTTACCCTCCCATAATGCCTCTGCGGGGCAAGGCGGGACATGTGACAGGTGAGTGATTATGGCGTCTGTTACATTATTCAGATTAACGATTGCTATTTGTGTGTGCTTTGACAGAATTCCCTCCTCCCTGGCCTCCGGTCTTTGGGAGTCTGTGTTTATGCATAATATGTACCCCAAGGGCGATCTCTATGAAAAGAATTAACCAAACCTGAAGAGGTTTTCAATTCTTTGAAGAGAGTCGATCCTTGGGGTAGCTCCCTCCGCCTGCGCAATTCTAATCACTGATTTATTCAGCAGAAGGAATGATGATGATCACGGGCCTAGGTGCTTACCCAGTTGGTAAGCATGCGCGCCGGGAGGTAACTCCACGAGGTGGGGGCCGTATAATAAATAAAAAGATTTTTATTTATTGTACAATTTTTTTATTCAAAAACATTGATACAACTGTCACAGGACATTTTCAGCCTGGAAAATGCATAATATGTACCCCAAGGACGACTCTCTTCAAAGAATTGAAAACCTCTTCAGGTTTGGTTAGATTTTTACTTAAGCCAAAATGAATGAATGAAACTATTTATTTTTACCTCAAACCAAAGAAATATGTAAGTAAGTAAATCTAAAAAAAAACTGTTGCCGATGTAAAGCTAGCCATGTCTACTTGTTGAGTGTTGTGATGAGGTGTGACAAGTTTTCTAATCTGTTGCTTTCTGCCTTGTACGTACAGCACACCTCAGTGGAATATATGCATTGTACTGCAGCGAGGGAAGATTCGGTTAATATGGATGTGACGGTGTTATAACCATCTGTAGCATATCATTAACTCAAGTAAACCATGTTATTCCTGTACGGTTGTGTGGTCTTAGTGTTCACTAATAGAGTTCATATTGATCCAGTGAAAGCTCATTTGCTGAAACATTCGATAGTGGTCTGAGGTTTTTGTCATTTGGATGTAAAACTGTGTGAATTTTTCAAGGGGTACAGTTCTACCCAATACGGGTAAATAGAATTGTAATGGGTATGGCTCTTTGTGGCCGAAGTACACTTCTAAGGGTAGTAAACGAACTATATTAAACTACCCGTTGTCATGCTTACATTTTAGTGGAAGAGCCCGGTGGCTGAGAGGGTTAGATCGCTGACTTTTTGTGCTTTTGATTCTCTGAGGCGTGGGTTCAAATCCCGAGTGGGACTCATCTGCATGTGCAGGAGTTTGAAAAACCTCATTTTCTTCCTGTGTGTGCTGGGAACAACGTCATGGAAACAGAATGACATAAAAGATTCTGAGGTTGTTCCCAGTGTGTCATTGTCAGTGTTTCCATTTACCAGCATATGCCTGTATTTTAACAGTAAAAACGTTGAAGGTATATTTGTGGCAAACAAGTCCTGGCAACCGGCAATAGTTTACCTGGTTAAATTATTTTCCCCACATGTGATTTAGTTTCGGTAGCATGACGATTGACATGCAACAATGTACTGTTATTTCACAGTTCATGTTCGATTGTAATTTAATACAATTTAATTCAGTATGTTTGTTCTTATTATAAAAGGGGCGGTGGGGTAGCGTAGTGGTTAAAGCGTCCGTTTGTCCCGCCGAAGACCTGGGTTCGATTCCCCACATGGGTACAATATGTGAAGCCCATTTCTGGTGTCCCCCGCCGTGATATAGCTGGAATATTGCTCAAAGCGGCGTAAAACTAAACTCACTCACTCACTCTTATTATAAAATGAAACACACTCATAGTCACGTTTTTATCTTTATTAAAATGGAAATGAAGGGGACGGGTGAAAATGATAAGGGACTGGTTTATTTGAGGCTTACTTACTTGAGGCTGAAAAAATTACCGGAAACACTGATTTGGCAGTCACACACTGTTCAATCAATAAGGAAGGAGACACGGATCCTTTCCTCAAGGCTGTTGGAGCACTACAATGATCGTAACTTTCACTTGGGACTTATGATTGCTTCGTGGAATGGAGCCCACCCTCAGTTTGTTAAACTTTTGTGTCTATATACAATAAAAAATTGTCAAATGTTTTTAAATTTTACACATTTTTGTCAAAATTGGACAATTTTTTTTTTTATGTTTTCATTCATGTTATGCAATAACTTAAACTGGTCCTTTAACTTTAACTGTCAATGACTGTACCAAATTATGTTTCATTGTAATACTTTTAGACAATATTGAGTGACTTGTGGAATTTCCCTATCTGTGGTCATGCAAATGAGTGAGTCCCTCACAGGCTCCACTTGTACACGTATCAGGGGACTGTCTCGCATACACATTATATCCGGGGCGGTGGGGTAGCCTAGTGGTTAAAGCGTTGGCTCGCCACGCCGAAGACCCGGGTTCGAATCCCCACATGTGTACATTGTGTGAAGCCCATTTCTGGTGTCCCCCCGCCGTGATGTTGCTGGAATATTGCTAAAAGCGGCGTGAAACCAAAGTCAGTCAGTCAGTCACATTATATCCTCTGCTGACATACTTTACTGGTGGGCAGTTAGTGAGAATAACCAAATCACAAAAATGCCTTCATTTGAAATCTCACTCAGCTATTACAAAATGTCAGCGTTCAGATCATGCAACAATGAGCTTTCACTCTCGTCACTTGTTTTGTGTGAGGTTCATATCCTCTGTTATACTTGCCACCATGCATGGAGTATTTCACTTCTGCAGTTTATTGTGTCACTTTGGTTTACTTGTGCAGTATTTGTGAAGTGTGTTCATAGTATATATACTACTCAACATTTGGTAAGGAATCCTTGAAAAACATAAGAGGATCAATTAGGGAATCTCTGCTGTTTCAGTGATACTTTGAAAGAGGAATAATAGGATTGAAAATGTCTGGAAATTGACAAAATCAAAATACTGTATTTGCACCCGAAAACCTTTGAAAATGTACAAGAGTTTCCATTGACAACAAGTAGGAATTTTTGCATAAGATCAAGCGGAAAAGAATAAATTTAGTTCAAATGTGAATGAAATTGCAACTTTTTTCATTGGTGTCATTTGTCAAATGTCTAGACATTGGTCACAAATGTATGAAACAGGCTTTTATAGAGTTCCATACAAAAGGAACTGATTTTAGGTGATTTTTAGCAAATGTTGAGTAGTATATGATAGATTACAGGACCTTGTTTTGTGTGACTGCATGGTTGATGGAAGGTTTTTGTTTTCAGACTATGTGCAGGCTAGCAAACCAACACGTGAGTGGGAATTTAGCTCAAACTCCTCCTCTCTCTTCTCCATCTTTCCTACTGTCGTGATTTGACAACAAAAATACAGGAAAAAATGTCACATGAAGACTGGTCGTTTCTTACTTGATCTCTTTAAAATGAATATCTTCGCAACATTTTGAATTGATAGTCTATTTTACCAAAATGAACTTGCCAGATTTTCCATTAAAACCACTCATTCTTTTCACTGATTAGACATGACTTTGTAAATGGGGAAATGTCACTGTTTCCCGTTTGCCTGCTTGCTGTGTGACCCCTGTCTGTGTCACGTACTCATGCTTATATCTACATCTTTGATTATCCAGGGTAAAATCTCTATTTTATTACAACCAATACCTCGAACCCTCTTGCCACTGTAACTTTGTTGTCCAAGTGCACCTGTCATCGGTTCCCAATTGTGTAGATCGATGCTGATGCTGTTGATCACTGGATTATCTGGTCCAGACTCGATTATTTACAGACTGCCGCCATATAGCTGGAATATTGCTGAGTGTAAAATTGAACTCACTCACTCACTGGATTGTATGGTCCAGGCTAACAGGACTGTCATATTTCTGCCATATCACTTAGTACATTAACCATCACAAATACTTGCATCTCAACAATATTTTTAATCAAATTAATAGATATTTTGCTTGAAAAGATGTTTTGTGAGTATCAAGTATTTCATATTCAATCAAGGAAGACTGACACAAAGTAGCAGTGGCAGATGGGTCCAGGTTACATGTAATAATAGAAAGGAGACACACGCTGGGTAATTGAGGATGGTTTTATATGGAGTAACTACTAACCCCTTAGATGTCTGTTTTTGATTTTGTGGTATAATTGTGTTTTTCATGAATAGTTCTGTTTAATTCTATGGTATCAGTGACGTATGGACCAATCTTAATAAAATCACGTTATTTACTCTGGTATGATACCCTATCTGTGAAGATACGGGTTGGAATTGGTCTTCAGGTAGGAATTGGTCTTCAGCAAACAATGTGTGTCGTAAGAGGTGACTAACGGGATCAGGTGGTCAGACAGTCTGACTTGTAAATGTCTTCCCAATCGCAGAGATTGATGCTCATGCTGTTGAACATTGGACTCGACTGGCTACAGACCTGGGCCTAGATTTTCGAAGCTCTCTTACCGCTAAGATAGTCGTAAGTCTATGTTAATGTATGGCACTTACGACTATCTTAGCGATAAGAGAGCTTCGAAAATCTAGGTCCAGACATATAGCTGGAATATTGCCAAGTGCGGCATTAAACAACACACAAATAATGATACGATACCCTATGTGTGATATTTTGAGGAGATTGCCACTTGATGTTACATCATTATGCCAATCAGGACGAGGTTTCTGACTTCTCATCATCGGTAATGGGACCATTCAGACTAGATTATTTACAGACTGCTACCATATAGCTGGAATATTGCTGAGCATGGCGTTTAACAACAGACAAACAATGTCATGACTCACACATTGTATCCATATGCAAACCCAAAGTAGTCCAGGATTTCAGTAAAAAAATCATACCAAATCAGGTTTTAATATCCTTGTTTACCCATGAAGATCCGGGTTAGAATATTGATCTTCAGTAACCCATGCTTGTTGTAAGAGGCAACATTGCACAGATCGATGCTCATGTTGTTGCTCACTGGATTGTCTGGTCCAGACTCGATTATTTACAGACCACCGCCATATAGCTGGAATATTGCTGAGCGTGGCGTTTAACAACAGACAAACAATGTCATGACTCACACATTGTATCCATATGGGGACTCACACTCTGCCTTCAGCATGATGAGTCACTTGAATATGTAAAACCAGTCTGATGTTACTTTGGATGATGTTTTGGCTGTTGAGTCAGATATTCACTGGCCATTCGGAAATGGCTTTTTGTGCTAATACAACTGACTTATCAGGTCATTGTACAAGATTGTAGAGAAATTACATGTAGTGAATGACATGGTGTAAATAAGGAAATTAACTCAAACTGGTTATTTTGATGTTTCCCCATTACATCATTGTCATGGATACAGCTCACAAGTAGAATCTGGGAGGAGTTATGAAATGGTATTCCTGGTTTTATTTCAGCATACAATGAGAAGGTGGTCCTGTTTCTACGGCAACAAGGCATCGATGACATCTTGAAGGACACGTTCCCCCAGTACTCCAACAACAACGTGCTGAAGGAGAAGATTCATAAGATCCGCTCACATGGCACTGACGCCCTTGACAGGCTCTGTAATGATATTGATCTCACAATATTACTTAGGTGAGAGTTTGATATTGGCAGCTTTGGTTGTATTCTTCCCAGGGAGCTGAGAATGCAATTTGAATGTAAACTGGTGTATAAACTGGAGTAATGATGTGATATGTGATGAATATGCCCTGTTTTCTGTTGGAGCCTTGTACTGTATCAGTTTTAGTAGATTAATATCACCAGAATGACTTCAGGATTAACTGGACCGCCTCCGTGGTGTAGTGGTTAGAGCGTCCGCCTGGAGAGCGGAAGGTCGCGGGTTCGATCCCCGACCGCGTCATACCAAAACACGTTAAAATATGGTACTTGTTGGTCCCTGCCTGGCGCTCGGCATTAATGGGTACAACAAGGACTGGTCGGCTCAGAGTCAGTATAATGTGTCTGAGTGGGGTATTCATGCTTCACTGCGGCATGGTATCTCAGTGGGCTAGCACTATAAAACCAGCTTAAGTCTGGGCTAGTACCAGCAGCCGCACATACACATACACACGCATGCACGTCGTCATATGAGTGATATATTCTCAAGCACGACGTAAAACCCAATTTCACCTCACTTCACCTCCTTCTTTCAACAAAACCACTTGGAACTGGGTTTGTGCTGATTTGGTTCTAAAGATGAATATTCATGTTCCAGTTTCATAGTTTGTCAGAGATCACACGTATTCATCACCATCGGGAGACAAATGAGTCCACCAGCTTATTTCAGAGTTTATTTTTCACCCTTGCCCTGTAAACCCGATTTTTCTGTGCTAAGACAGACTTATGAGAGGACCATATTGTACAAAGCGATCTTAGCGCAAAGGTGATCATGACTCCCATAGATTAACATAGACTTATAGCAGTCTTTGAGCTAAGATTGTCTCATACAGCGGCACCCTGGTCAAAAGGAAAATGTCAATCATATGCTATTTTCACTGACTATATCTACCTATCAACAACCAACCAAGGTGAATTACACAAGCTACAATGTCTCTTACTTCATGCTATGTGTCTTGAAGAAGGAATATATGTTGTTTTATGACTTTGTCTTTTCAGTGTGTTTGAGAATGAAATAATGTCCTACGTCCCCCCGACGGTGACGCCGAGACTTGCACAGGCTCACGATGGTGTGACACAGGGCTCTCCTCAAGGCTCACCAGGTAGGGACAGGCCAAACAGACATTTGTGATCCAAGTATCACTCGATTTCAACGTTAAACCAAGGCTAAGTTCTTTATATTGTATCATATTATATCTCATCATCATGTGGGTCATTATCTATGTTTGGTGCAAATCCAAAGTAGTCCAGGATTTCAGTAAAAAAAAAAATCATACCAAATCAGGTTTTAATATCATTGTTTACCCGTGAAGATCCGGGTTAGAATATTGATCTTAAGTAACCCATGCTTGTCGTAAGAGGCGACTAATGGGATCGGGTGGTCAGGCTTGCTGACTTGATTGACACATGTCATCAGTTCCCAATTGCACAGATCGATGCTCATGTTGTTGCTCACTGGATTGTCTGGTCCAGACTCGATTATTTACAGACCGCAGCCATATAGCTGGAATATTGCTGAGTGCCGCGTAAAACTAAACTCACTCTAATATCCTTGTTGAATGTTGACCTTTTCCAGATTTTAGTGGAAGAATTACATGCCATGAAGGCCAACAAGTTTCTGAATTAATTTTCTGTTCTGGAGCTGTTCTGCTGAGACAAAACTAAACAAAACTTCAAAACAAATGTGAAAACGTCAAAATAAAGTCTGGTTATATTTTTGTATTTTGACAAAATAGTATTTCCATTGGGTCGTCATAATCCACCACTGATTACTTACTTCCAGTCCAAAGAGCCCCTGCCAGAGTGCCAGCACCATACAAGAGGGACTTTCAAGCTAAACTCAGGAATTTCTATAGGAAACTGGAATCAAAAGGTTTCGGGCAGGGGCCGGGGAAGTTGAAGTAAGTTCTGGTTTGATTACTGTGAGAAGCTTGTGTAGATACCAATGTGTGTCTGTTTGATATGCTGTCTGTGCTGCAGTAATCTAACTGAAAATAAAATTAACATTAATTTATTAAAATATGGATTTAAACAACAACAAAAAAAACGATTTAGATCAAGGTCACAAGATCATGTTTTTTTTCTCAATTTACCTGAAATTGTGATTAGCTTAGAAAGAATTTGCTTAACTAATAAAGTGTCCTTTTCAACAAGTACCGTGCTAAACTGAAACTTTGTTTATATTTTCTTGAAGTGACATTGGCTGATAATCATTACGTGACCCCACATTCACACCTTCTTAACGATTTGTCCCAGAGCGGACCCTGAAGTTGGTGATTATGTAATAGACAGAGAGACCACTCTGGGAACACACCTAAGTCCATGACTTACAGGGACAGAAAAGGCCTTTGAAAATGTTGAGTGTCGTGTTTTCCCAAAGCCCATTTGTCTGGTTTACATAGGACCAATGGTGTTGGTATTTAGCAGTACGGAAGGTTCCTGTGTTTGCAGGTTGACGGTACGGCGAGACCATGTGTTAGAAGATGCTTTCAATAAAATCATGTCCACACCAAAGAAGGAACTGCAGAAGAGTAAACTCTACATCACCTTTGCAGGGGAAGAGGGGTAAGTGGAACTAATATCGATAAGACTACAGAATACCCGGATACCTTCCACCATATTTGAAAGCGCAGGAGTTTTGGTTAGGGCAAGGTTTAGGGTTTGGGTTAGAGTAAGGTTTAAGGATAGGGTTAACGCAAGGGTTAGGATGACGTGACACTAAACAATATGGCTGGTAGGTGTCCGGTATTCTGTAGGTGTACCCTAATATCATAGCCGCCATCACCTGTTATCTAGTGTATCGTGTCCATTCTGTTAGGATCAATACCTTGGGCCATTTTCTGTTCTGTTGAAATGAAATACCAGAAATAAGGTGAATAAAGCCAACCAGGACAAAGCTCTCTGTCCCATTGAATTGTCTTTGTAAGCAAATGTTCAATCTAAACAGACTTCTGGTCTCATGAAATATAATTCGGGTATGTTTTTTATTCACTCGTGTGATATTGAATGTGATGGTATGGCAAACTTATTTATCAAGAAAAATGCCTTGGCTGGATGCCATGAAAACCCTTAAATGTTTTGGCTGAATATTCAAGCCCAGCTTACCGTTTAGGGATTCCAGATATTAATTTTAAAAAATTACCAGTCCAGATACAAACTTGCCTGTCCGGTTTTCAACAAAGTTTCTGAATACTTTACTGCATGCATTGTAACGTTAAGGTACATGGCCTGGTTTACAAACTAGGAATCTGTTGCATTTTCTGCCTCACAATCAAGATCAGAGAAATAAATATCTACCATACCACCAGACAGGCTACTTTTGAAATTTGACCGTCCGAGATGAAAATAGACCGTTCTGGACGGTCGAGCAGGCGGGAATTTTAAACGCTGCCTATGGTCTAGTTCAGTGATGTGGTTGATTGGTTGTCACTGAATGCTAATTGTTTATCAGAGTTACTGATGTCAGTTACTGTACAACAAGACTAACCCTGTTGTTTGTTCCACAGGTTAGACTATGGTGGTCCCTCCAGGGAGTTCTTCTTCCTCCTCTCCCGGGAGCTGTTCAACCCGTACTATGGTCTGTTTGAGTACTCCGCCAATGATACCTACACTGTACAGATCAGTCCCATGTCAGCCTTTGTGGAGAACGCCCACGAGTGGTAAGAAATGTAGCTTCACTCATCTGAAGGACTAACCATTTCGCTCGGTCAGATACCATAGGAAGGACACTCGTTTCGTATAATTATACCCCCGCTACGAAGTAACGTGGGTATATAGCGTTCATTCTGTCTGTCTGTCCTTCCGTCCCGAAACTTTGTCCGGAGCATATCTCTTAAAGTTTACATGCTAGGTTCACCAAACTTCACACACATGTTAATCATTACCCATTGATGTGCCTTTTGCTATTTTAAAGTTTTTTCAGAATTTGTTTTGTTGTTGTTTCCATGGAAACATGACTTGGTGCAACATGTGTTTGATGGTTACCTGGCCACAGCATATCATCGGAACTATACATACTAGGTTCACCAAACTTAATACACAAGTTAATCATGACCCACAGATATGCCATATGCTAAAAATAACAATCTTCATCTACGTCCACTTCATTGTGTGCAACAAGTTTAATTGTATGTCAGGTTTCCACGGAAAACACAAAAAAATAATTTTCCATGTCCCAAAGTGGGAAGCGGGGGTATGTGAGCTGTGCTCACTTCTACACTTGTTTGTATATATAATGAGACTTCGTGTAGTATTCTCTCTATATAACATATGTTATGTGTGTTGTCATACCTGATGATAACATCACACTTTGCTCATTATTCCACCATCTACTCTGTCTGGGCTTGACTTTTATTTGCTTTTGTCTGGATTTTCACAGGATTTTGTAATAATAACCGGACTATTGCAGAATAATTATGGCCAATAACGTGGAGCTATGGAATGTTGACTTGAGGTGTTTGATGTTTCAGGTTTCGATTTGCTGGCCGTGTCCTTGGGTTGGCTCTAGTCCATCAGTACCTGCTGGATGCCTTCTTCACCAGACCCTTTTATAAAGCTTTACTCAGAGTGTGAGTCACCTTCCGTCATTAAACACTTACACACAACCGTAGTAACCCCATGTTACACATCTTGCAGCATTAAGTGCACAGACGCAGGGCAGAATTAGCCTTTGAAGGATGGAAGTTCAGTAGCCCAAGAAGTGATAACAGTACCCTAAATCTTTTTTAAATTTACAAGCCCTTAGCATATTATGAACAAAAGTGGCCTAGGCTAGGGCGTAGTCCTAATTTCCATTCCTGATGAGTGACCTAAAACGCCACTGATACAGGTGAAATTGTTGCCATCAATCTTTAAAGAATGTTAAGACATGACCACATATATAGCTCATGTCTCCGCAAACTTTTAACATTACATCATCTGAACTCTGGGTGGACTCTAGTCTAGTTTCCCTGTTTGGTTAATAATTCATTAGCTTTGTTTTTTCATTTTCCTTCTCAAAACAGGGGGGCGGTGGGGTAGTCTAGTGGTTAAAGCGTTGGCTTGTCACGCCGAAGACCTGGGTTCGAATCCCCACATGGGTACAATGAGTGAAGCCCATTTCTGGTGTCCCCCGCCATAATATTGCTTGAATATTGCTAAAAGCGGCGTAAAACCAAACTCAGTCAGTCAGTCAGACAGTAACAGGCTTCTGGAACTATGAGCCAAAGTTAAATAGAAAACCAAAGGGAAATGGTTCTTCCAAGTTAGAGAGTTTGGGTTTCCTTCACAATATCATAAATATGAGGTGAGGTGAGGTGAAATTGGGTTTAAGGTCATGCTTGAGAATATTTTGCTCATTTGACGACATGCATGCATGTGTATGTGTATGTGTATGCGCGGCTGCTTGTACTAGCCCAGACTGAAGCTGGTTTTATAGTGCTAGCCCACTGAGATACCATGCCGCAGTGAAGCATGAATACCCCACTCAGACACATTATACTGACTTTCGAGCCGACCAGTCCTTGTTGTACCCATTAATGCCGAGTGCCAGGCAGGGACCAACAAGTACCATATTTTAACATCTTTTGGTATGACGCGGTCAGGGATCGAACCCATGACCTTCTGCTCTCTGGGCGGACGCTGTAACCACTACACCACGGAGGCGGTTCATAAATATGAAGATGATGACAAGGAATTTGAGTATTGATGTTGAGCCAGCTGCATGTCCATGGTAGTCACTCCCGATACTTGCTAGTCCCTGATGTGGGGCAGTGGGGTAGCTTAACGGTTAAAGTGTTGGCTCGTCACGCCAAACACATGGGTTCGATTCCCCACATGGGTACAATGTGTGAAGCCCATTTCTGGTGTCCCCCGCCATGATATTGCTGCAATATTGCTAAAAGCGGCGTAAAACCAAACTCACTCACTCACTCTCACTCATTCCCTGATGTTCTGTACTCACGTGTGTATTGTGGGCTGCAGGCCTTGGTCCTTGGAGGATGTGGAGACGATAGATGCCGAGTTCTACCAGAGTCTTTTGTGGATTAAAGACAATGATATTACTGATGTCGACCTGGACATCACCTTCTCCGTCAGTGAGGAAGTCTTTGGACAGGTGAGATGAAGACCTAACTTTCACAAACCAGCAGAAGGGTTATTCGTGCCAGTTTAAAACTACCATTGTCTATTTACAGCATTGTGTATGTGCCGAATGAGCTATTTCGATACCAGTAAAACAGATTAACTACCAGGGAAAGAAACCTTGCAAAATATCCCACTTGACCAGTGAGTGGACAATAATTAGTGGTCATGTCGGTACTTCTCTGGTCCAAAATAACATTCACAGATTTACTTAACTATCAATACAATACACTGCAAACTTATCATTTAGTGGTCCAGATTAATTTTTACTAGCCAGGGCCCACAGGACCAGCAGACTGAACTGCAGTTATATGAAAGGATATGCTGTTCTTTAACTTTTTTAATATTTTATATCAAGGGCCCAAAGAGGCTGTGATGATGTTTGTTGAGTGAAAGCATTTTGATTCAGTGATAGAAATTCTGCTAGGTTAGTGTTGTGCTGTCACTTCTGCGGTGTTGAATGGGTCCAAGATAAGTGTTGAATTAAATGGAGATATGGTCAAGAATTTTCGAGAATCCGGATCACTGCAATTTCATAGGAAGACTTGCTTTGCTGTGATTGAATTAAATACTCCATTCTGGAGGTCCTTTTTCGTGTCAACAGAAACATCTGAATTACTCCTTTGATAAATGTTTAAAGAGTTACTTGCCCTGTTGGTTGTAAGAGATTTCTGATTATCAACCCCTGGTATTTTTGTAGGTAGTTTGGAATGTGATGACATAAAAGGCCGAGGTTCAGTACAGAGTTCTCTCCCTTGGAGATTGATGCTTTGTACAATGGTCAAACTTTCGTAGCGATTCATTTCTGATTCCAAACTTCCATATCAAACTTGATCACAAGTGTATAACATGCTTTGTAGGATTCAGGATATATGTCAAGGGTAAGGTTATACTTACAAACAATCTGTTTGATAATGTGGAATTGAAGGGGTCTAAAGCACAACTGGCAGATCCAGCTGTTAAACAGTGCCAGAGAATATGGATTTGGATCAGAAGTTTCCATCTGCAGGTAACAGAACGAGAGCTGCGGCCGAACGGCAAGAACCTGCCAGTGACTGAACGAAACAAGAAGGAATACATAGAGAAAATGGTAAAGTGGAGGCTGGAGCGGGGAGTCACGGAACAGACAGACAGTCTCATCAGGGGCTTCCATGAGGTCAGTAACACTAGCTTACCATTACTTCCTAACTCATGTAGACTTGGCACTTCAATACTTCCATGAGGTCAGTAACACTAGCTTACCATTACTTCCTAACTCATGTAGACTTGGCACTTCAATACTTCCATGAGGTCAGTAACACTAGCTTACCATTACTTCCTAACTCATGTAGACTTGGCACTTCAATGCTAGTGCTTTAGCAGATACGGTTTGACAATATTAGTGCAGTAGTATGTAGAATCTATGGTTCCACAATACTAGCGCTGTAGCAACTACGGTTCCACAATACTAGTGCTGTAGCCACTATGGATCCATAATACTAGTGCTGTAGCAACTACAGTTCGACAATACTAGTGCTGTAGCAACTGTTAGTCTTCAATACTAGTGCTGTAGCAACTACAATACTAGTGCTGTAGCAACTACGGTTCCACAGTGCTAGTGCTTTAGCAACTACAGTTTCACAATATTAGTGCAGTAGCATGTAGAATCTATGGTTCCACAATACCAGTGCTGTAGCATGTAGAATACTAGTACTGTAGCAACTACGGTTCTGGAAATACTAGTGCTGTAGCAACTACGGTTCCACAATACTAGTGCTGTAGCAACTACAGTTCCACAATACTAGTGCTGTAGCAACTATGTTTCCACAATACTAGTGCTGTAGCAACTGTGGTTCCACAATACTGGTGCTGTAGCAACTACAGTTCCACAATACTAGTGCTGTAGCAACTATGGTTCCACAATACTAGTGCTGTAGCAACTGTGGTTCCACAATACTGGTGCTGTAGCATCTATGGTTCCACAATACTAGTGTTGTAGCAACTATGGTTCCACAATACTAGTGCTGTAGCAACTATGGTTCCACAATACTAGTGCTGTAGCATCTATGGTTCCACAATACTGGTGGATTGGATGTCAATAATGGTCCCACAAGGTCAGTGACAACAGCTCCAGAACAAAAGGCAAACATGGCACCACAATACATATGGCTGCATCACATCCTGAGCAAAATAGATCCCTTGTTCTCTGTGCAAGGATCAGATAGTTTCAGTGAGATTTTGTGCTCTGATGGTGTGGATTATTGATCTTGGTTTAGGGGCAGTATCCCCTGAAGGTGACAGTAGAGGTGTCACAATACATAATAACATGATAATAAGTATTCATATCCCAAAACACTACATTTATTTCATGAGTTCATATTCAGTACCTTTTTGCAGGTTGATCACCAACCTGACATCTTTTTTTTAAATTTCCGAGAGCAAATATGGGATATTGTACAAGAGAAACGAGTAAGCTTGGGAGCATTGTGCAGACTCTGCTATTTATTGCCCCCAGACTTGGTTTACAGCCTGACAGCCTACCCTTGATGCTCAGTGTGGCAAGCGTTAATGAAGTACATTGTACTTAAAGCAGGATATATTGTATTACAGGTGATAGAGTCTCGGCTTGTGGCCCTGTTTGATGCCAGGGAACTGGAACTTGTGATTGCCGGGACGGTGGAGATTGATATCTCAGACTGGAGGAGGAACACTGAGTATAGATCTGGTGAGGCAACTTGTCCTGTCTTACACTGTCCTGTCCTGTCCTGTCCTGTCCTACACTGTCCTGTCCTGTCCTGTCCTGTCCTGTCCTGTCCTGTCCTGTCCTGTCCTACACTACACTGTCCTGCCCTGTCCTGTCCTACACTGTCCTGTCCTGTCCTGTCCTGTCCTACACTGTCCTACACTGTCCTGTCCTGTCCTACACTGTCCTGCCCTGTCCTACACTGTCCTGCCCTGTCCTACACTGTCCTGCCCTGTCCTGTCCTACACTGTCCTGTCCTACACTGTCCTGCCCTGTCCTACACTGTCCTGTCCTGTCCTACACTGTTCTGTCCTGTCCTACACTGTCCTGTTCTGTTCTGTCCTGTCCTGTCCTGTCCTGTCCTACACTGTCCTGTCCTGTCCTGTTCTGTCCTGTCCTGTCCTACACTGTCCTGTCCTGTCCTACACTGTCCTGCCCTGTCCTACACTGTCCTGTCCTGTCCTGTCCTGTCCTGTCCTACACTGTCCTGTCCTGTCCTACACTGTCCTGTCCTGTCCTGTCCTGTCCTCCTGTCCTGTCCTGTCCTACACTGTCCTGTCCTGTCCTGTCCTACACTGTCCTGTCCTGTCCTACACTGTCCTGTCCTGTCCTACACTGTCCTGTCCTGTCCTACACTGTCCAGCCCTGTCCTGTCCTGTCCTGTTCTGTCCTGTCCTGTTCTGCCCTGCCCTGCCCTGCCCTGCCCTGCCCTGCCCTGCCCTGCCCTGCCCTGCCTCATCCAATTAAATGCTTATAGTCCAAGACAGTGCATCTCTTTTTTCGAAGTTATGTTAGCCCCTCAACCGGGGGACGCATTAGTAGAACGTGTTCTCTTGCAAGTAAAGTTTATGGGCACAACATGCTTATATATGTTGCATTTGTGGTCATCCTTGCTCTCAATGTTATATTTGTGTATTAAAATCACAAATTTGTTATGAATTCTAGAGTGTGCTATAGCGGCATCGGTACGAAGACATCTAGTATATGTCCTATACATTTCACTCCCATATCACCATATATATATGATCCATAAATATATATTTACTCTAAAAAATACATGTTCACAAATTATTCACACCTCGGCTAGTCTAAGAAAAGTAAACTTCAGAAAAGACTGGCAACATTTCCTTGTGGACTACCCCTTTCACCTCAAGGCAACAGATCACAAAGGAACAAGACTGATGAATGTTTGATGTTTGACTGTTTCAGGCTACCACGACCAGCACACTGTCATACAGTGGTTCTGGATGGCTATAGAGAAATTCAATAATGAGAGGAGGCTACGCTTGTTGCAGGTAATGTTGGTCACCTTTTTACTTCTGAATTTTATTCACGTGAAGATCGGGTTGGAACTGATCTTCAGTAACCCATTCTTGTTGTAAGAGGTGACTAACGGGATCGAGTGATCAGGCTCGCTGACTTGGTTGACAAATGTCATCGTATTCCAGTTGTGTAAATGATGCTGTTGATCACTGGATTGTCTCGATTATTTACAGACTAACACCATATAGCTGGAATATTGCTGAGATGTGGCGTAATACTAAACTTAACTCACTCCCTGTCCACCAGAAGCCCATAAGATGAGTGAGTGAGTGTGAGTGAGTTTAGTTTTACGCCACACTCAGCAATATTCCAGCTATAATGCAGCGGTCTGTAAATAATCGAGTCTGGACCAGACAATCCAGTGATCAACAGCATGAGCATCGATCTGCGTAATTGGGAACCGATGACATGTGTCAACCAAGTCAACAAGCCTGACCACCTGATCCCGTTAGTCGCCTCTTACGACAAGCATAGTCGCCTTTTGTGGCTAGCATGGGTTGCTGAAGACCTATTCTACCCCGGATCTTCACGGGTCCCCATAAGAAGATCCCCAAGTGATGCCTTAATAAGCAAGTGCTAGGATCACCAACTAGTAAATTTGGATTCATCACAATGTCCAAAACCTGCATCACTTTGATATTCCTTCCACATCAAAAGACATGCCATGATGTAAGTGAAATACTATTCAAAGCTGTTAGAATCAACTGACTCTTTCACTCTGCTTCCAGTTTGTAACAGGGACCTCTAGTATACCCTATGAAGGTTTCTCAGCACTGCGAGGCAGTAACGGTCCGAGGAAGTTCTGTATTGAGAAGTGGGGCAAACAGACAAGTCTTCCAAGGTTTGTCATCATCAAAGTCATGTTTATATTGCTTTTTCATGTAAAAACAGTATTATTCGTTCTTTTGAAAGTAGGTTTGATGTAAGGTCAATATTTGGGACAAATTCTTTTCAAGCTACTCTAACTTTTGAAAAACAGTTTATTCTACAAAATCTGTTATTTTACATCCTTTGTTTTTGAAAGTTTGCATGAATGGTCCTAGAAATTGCCCCACTGAAAAGAGGAAAAAGAAAGAAATCCCATATTACTTTAAGTACAGTGTACTCCTCTTTGTTCCAGAGCTCACACGTGTTTCAACAGACTTGATCTTCCACCATACTCCTCTTCGAATCCCTGTTCGAGAAACTTGTTATGGCAGTGGAGGAAACCAGTACCTTCGGCATTGAGTGAACAAAGACAGTGCAGTCACTTGTGTTCTGGTAGAGATCTGTTAAGGTCATGATTCTGGCAGCATTGGGTTCTGTCTTACAGGCCCTGTGTTCTGGTAGAGACCTGCCCAGGGCTTGTGTTTGGCTCTGTGTACAGGTCCTATGTTCTGAGAAGGATCTGTTCAGGTCATGACACAGACTGTGTTGGTATCTGTGTTGCAGGTCCTGGGTTGTGGTAGAGATCTGCCCAGGGCTTCATGCAGGTTGTGCTTGGTTCTGTGTACAGGTCCTGAGTTCTTACACGGATCTGTTCAGGTCATGACACAGACTGTGTTGGTATCTGTGTTACAGGTCCTGTGTTGTAGTAGAGATCTGCCCAGGGCTTCATACAAGTTGTGTTTGGATGTGTTACAGGCCCTAAGTTCATGAAGGAATCTGTTCAGGCCATGACACAGGCTGTGTTCGAGTCTGTGTTACAGGTCCTGTGTTCTGTTAGAAATCTGTTCAGGGCTTGAAACGGGTGTTCAGGTCCCATGTTCAGGTAGAGATCTGTTCCGGACATGCTAACAATTCTGTTTGGACCCGCATTCAGGTCATGTGTTCTGGTAGAGATCTGCCCAGAGCATATTTCAGTTGTGTTGTGCTCTGTGTACAGGTCAGAGCTTGATACAGATGGTGCATCTGATGCAGGTACTGTTCAAGGATATAGGCTGTTCTGTTCTAGGTTCTGTGCGTGGAGACACAGCTTCAATTGCCACCTAGTCTTCAAGCAGCTCACTCACTCACTCACACATCTAGTCAAACGGGAAAGTCATGCTCAAAGCAACACAGCTCAAGGTCAAACAATGTGATTACTCAAGCTGAAGGATGAAGATGAAAAGCCATTACAATATTTCTGCTGAATGAGAAAAGATCGAGAGTCAAGTTTGACTTTGTTCATAGACGTCACGTGTAACTTGTCGAGGAAAACTTGAACACAGGTATACATCCATTATCTACCGTCATAAACTGGTTAACTCTCTCCCCAGGGCATCAATCCACTTGCAGGATGAACTGAACAAAAAGGAGAAAGAGCCAAGTTTAAGACATGCAGCATCAAGTTACCAAGTCAAAGACCAGGTTCCATGCTCCAAGATATATTGGCAATAAGAACCACCAACAATGCAAAACTAGCCCCAGCATCGTGTATCATAGCAACCAGGGCCTCCTTTCACAAAGCACTAAGGCAATCGTTTGTCACTAAGGTAACCTTAGTGCAATGTTAATGAATGGGAGTTAAGGTTAATTAACCTTAGTAAAGGTTGCTTCATGAAAGGAGCCCTTGATCATTACTATGTACTGTTCCATTGTTGACTATCCAGTGTTGGTTACTAATTGATGGATCTCCATCCATCTCACAGCAATGCTTACGTTGAGTCTGATGTTGAGTTTGCATTGAAAAAACTCTGCAAGAGCCTTGAAAATAATTGTTGTTGAAAATAATTTTTCACTGAGCTCTATCACCATATAAACTGGAATTCAATGGCTATCACACACGGTAATGTTTTTTTTTCTTATATTTGGCTCTCATGGTTTCAATCTAAGTATTTTGAAGACCTTCCATGTAGAGGTTTGGAGACTCAATTATATTCAAGATATGAATTTGGACGCACAAGATCAACATAAGATTCATAGCTTCACATGATACAAGCAATAAACTTTCCATAAAATTGAAAACCAAAATACAGTGCTTATTGTACTGAAACTATTTAATGCACTTAAAATAGTAGTATATTATTTGTACTGGATAGTCAAAATGGCAGTACGTAGCTACGACTTCGTAGCTAAGCATTAGTTGTTACAGAAGTAGCTTGCTGTAGCACCATACCAAAGACTTCAACAGCTTGTTAGCTTTAGTCCAGCCCCATCACCAAAGTTCACAGAGGATGTCTGAGAGTGTGGTTTAGAATTCACAAGTTTGTGTCTAGTTTGTGTCAAGTTTGTATTTAGTTCATAGTCAGCCTATCGCCATGATGAAGTGGTACAGCTGAGCACCAGGCTTTGTCAAACATGCAGCATTATGAACAGAAAGGGGAGCTAACTAGTATTGTACTGCATGTCACATGATTATAATACGTGGTGCTGCAGCTTTCCTAACAACTACTTCACTACATTGTATTTTCAGTGCAGTGTCTGTGTAGAACGTAATCAAAGGAATGTTACTCAACATTACAAATTGAGGGAAATATGAAAATGTACATGTTTTTATCGATATGCAAATAATGACACTAACTATAAGTATTATAATATTTTCTTGCATTTAAATGTTTTATCCATGTGGTTAGAATAATATCTGATATTTTTAAGTATACTTTTATGAAAGCTGGATGATTTCAATTTTTTTGTGGGCATTGGGGTAGTCTAGTGGTTAAAGCATTGTCTTGTCACACCGAAGACCCAGGTTCGATTCCCCACATGGGTACAATGTGTGAAGCCCATTTCTGTCTGGTGTCCCCTGCCGGGATATTGCTGGAATACTGCTAAAAGCAGCGTTAACCCATACTCACTCACTCAAATTTTTTGCATTTTAACATTGTAATTCACAGCTGCCTACGTTAATATGAGGACAATTTCTTTTTTTTGCCTTTAGAGTGTTAGGTGAAAATGGAAACTATTTCAGATGTACATAATATGACATTCTTGATACAGAATAGTGAACATACTTTTGATAATTGTCATAGATCTGTTGTCAGAATGGTTAATAGTATAAGGAACATTTTGAATGCATACCAACAATAGTGCTGCAAACTTTCTGCACCATTGCTTTACACCATGGTGTTAATATAGTGCTTTAATGATTAGTGCAGGTTGGGTTTTAAGAGAAGATACAGTCAGAGATTTTGTGATGCTTTTGTGTGATTGTGGATATTTTTAGAGTACCATTTGATACAGTGCTTGTATGACGTGAAAGATTCCTTCTGAAGAGATTGTAGAGTTTCCCTTAAAAGCCTTTTTTTATCCACATTCCTGGTTGTTAGGAATGCAGATTTGTAAACCAAGTGACAAGAATGTGTTAGTGAAGACTGAAAAAGGGTAATAATGGCTGCTTGCTTCAGTTGTTTAATATGTTCAAAGTATTGTATATCTTTAGAGAAATATCCTTTCCATGGCCAGTACATTTGAAATATCATTTGCCAGGTTTAAAAATGTTGCTATGTATTTTTGAGTGGACAACCGTGAAACTAGATTAACATGTTATGTTATAACTCATGGTTTCTCGCTCTGAAAAAAATCATATTTTCTTTTTTTTAAACAAAATTTTCATTGTGGTGAAATATGACCTGGTTAACCCCTAAATAGCCCTCTGTACTGAGGATATTAGATGATGAACACCCCCTTTAAATGTGACAGGAAGCAGAACCACATGATAATTTTGACATTTAAAAATAGACGTTAGGTATCAAGAATAAATATCTATACACAGCTCCAGATAATGTTTTTACACATTTTCTTAATGTTGATATTTCTGGGGGCATTTGGGGCGGTTGGGTAGCCTAATGGTTAAAGAGTTGGCTCGTCACGCCGAAGACCTGGGTTCGAATCCCCACATGGGTACAATGTGTGAAGCCCATTTCTGGAGTCCCCCGCCGTGATGTTGCTGGAATATTGCTAAAAGCGGCGTAAAACCAAACTCAGTCAGTCAGTCAGTCTTGGGGCATTCAATACATTTTGGGTTCCAGCCTGGTGGGTAATTTTAACATGTGACCATTTTGACTGAATAGCTCTGTTTGAAATGCTCTTTCATAAGACTTCTGATGTGCATCGGTATCACATGGTAGCAGTGTTTCTAAGTTGACATCTTTCTTTGTGCAGTTTTCACTGCGGTAGAGTTTGTGATACTTGTATTCCATCAGTAAATATAGATCATGAAAGAAATGCCAGCACGCAAGCTCAAATGGTAACTTTGGATAATTACTGAAAGGGTTATGTCACAAATGATTTCTTTAAATGCTGTATGTATATTTGATTGTATTCAAGCCACTCAAAATTATTTGTAATGTCTTTTGCATATATTATTCACAAGTACAGCTTATCTGGAGCTCTGTATATAGCTGTATATACATGTACCACAAACATGGACATTTTGGATTTGAAAGAGCATCTCCATTGTCAATATCCGCTTTGTACAATTGCGTATAACTGGAACTTCAGAGTTAACCAAGATGTCAAGAGCGTGAAATGTTATTTCAGTCGGTACAGGTTGTGAATGTTTCTTGATGACAGATGAATTGTTTACAATGATGAGGCTCAATATGGTCATGTTTATAGGAGGTATATATGGATAGGCAAGTGGAACATGTACTCTGAGAATTGGTTACTGCACTCTCCAAGCTGTTACTGCTCACTCCATTGAATATGTCAAGAATATTGTCAATAACTGTGTACATAACACTGTATATATCACTCTGGGGTGAATGTCATGTTACAGTACGGTTGTACATAATAAGGTTACGTGTCTTGTGTGAAGGATGGACAGTGTTTAACAAATTTACAATAAACATGCGTTTCAGCATCTTACATTTCTCACTTAGGTCTGTTAGCTGTTTGTTGCAACTGCTAACTGTACATTTTTTGTCAATGTCGTCAGCACCTGTTAATGTACTGATTACATTGTTAAATGAAGTGTTGGAAGATTTGCAAGTTTTTATCTCGTACATGCAATTATGGGATGTACCATTTGTTCAGCAAGCATCTTGTTCATTACAGTATTTGGATCGTGTTGCCATGGTTATGAGTATGTTACCATTATTCTTTACTGTTGTTACTTAACAAATATGATTGAAATAACAGTTGTAGACAGTTTGTGAGGTCAAGGCCATTAACACGTTTTTGAAACCAGGGTCCCGATCCACAAAGCGTTTGTAGTGCTACGACATTCGTAGGCCTATGATAACCTATAGAGGTGAGGTGAAATTGGGTTTAACGTCGTGCTTGAGAATATTTCGCTCATATGACGACGTGCATGCGTGTGTATGTGTATGTGCGGCTGCTTGTACTAGCCCAGACTGAAGCTGGTTTTATAGTGCTAGCCCACTGAGATACCATGCCGCAGTGAAGCATGAATACCCCACTCAGACACACTATACTGACTCCGAGCCGACCAGTCCTTGATGTACCCATTAATGCCGAGCGCCAGACAGGGACCAACAAGTACCATATTTTAACGTCTTTTGGTATGACGCGGTCGGGGGATCAGACTAGGGTGGACGCTCTAACCACTACACCACAGAGGCGGTCGATAAACTATAGAGTTACGAACACTCTGTGGATCGGTTCCCAGTACTATTTTATCCACTAACTCTAGTCCAGTTGTGTATATGTATACGTGTGTTGTGTTTACATTCTGTTTACATGTGTCACATAATTACGCTCTGTAATCCAGTGTTGTGCTGCCACGTCTCTGTAAGATCTGCCGATATTCAGCATTTTGTATATACGTGCATAATACAAAGCATATTAACCACAAGTATTGTTCATGCACTAGGGTGTAGTCGCCAGATCCTAGTGGCTGTGGATGTCTAATATTGTAATTATACATGACTGTACAGTTCCGAGAAGGATTCTTCCTTATTGTACAAATGATCCTGATAATGCCTGTTGCTATGGTGATGACTGAGATGTATATTTTTGTATACTTATGCAAGCTGTATGAGAGAAGTGTGTCCTTTGTCTTCTGTGCCTACCGCCAGCTTTCATTACCAGAGAACTACACAGCGCTAGGAGCATGCAAGTGGAATCGGTTCAAGGGCTTGGTAGATCCCTTTTATTTTGTTTATGCCCACAAGAATGATTTTACGTAAGAAATGAGCCAAAATTTCAGAAATCATTTGCAGTTATGTAGACTTGAATGTTTTCTAATTGAAATAACATTAAATGCAGGGTTTTAAATGACACAGAAATGTGCATCTGGTATGCACAAATGTGTAACTTTGGCACTGACAAAAATATATGTTGCTGTGCCAAATTCTCAACAAGAAGGTCCTGTTAGAATCAAAATAACAATATAATATTAACAATGTGATATAATTATTACATCTAACACTACACCTTACAGCTTCCTATTTCTTGCAAGGACCTTTGAAATTTTTAAAATTATTTTAGGGCTGGATAAAACCATTTACCACCTTATGTAAATGTATACATAAGGTTTAATGTCTCGGAGAATAAAGAAATCGAGCTCATTGAGAATGATTTGGAGTATCAAGGTTGCC